CTGTGATGACTGTGTCATCTGTAAGAGTTTTCATTGGATTTTAAAAATAAGCTGGTCACACTTCTCCATAGTTTAGTTTAAAATTCTTTAACCTGCTTTTCACCTACAGGTCTATGTGGAGCATTCATCCCATGCATCCTTGGTTGTAATGTGGCCCGGGACAACGGAGAGAGCTGCTGTCTACCTTTTCTCCCAGGAGCATTGATTGCTTTAAGAACAAGCATCCGCCACAAGAACAACATTGAAGTGAGTTTGGAAAAGCTGTTAGAAAAAGAAAAAAACAAAAAACAAATATTAATTTCAAAATGGTATACATTCTTTACACTTTTATATCTATAGTTTTTGTATGTTAAGAAAAGTATTTGTGTGTAACATTTAAATGAATATTTTTGTAATTGTAATGATCTCTTTGAATTTTAGGGCTCGGTGTGTAATGATTGGTTGGTCATGGCCTGCTTGCCTTTATGTGGACTATGCCAGATGGCACGAGAGCAGAAGATAAGGGGATAAACTGATCACTGACTAATTATTTAGAATAATAAGTTAGAATTTGTATATTTGTCTGATCTGAAACTTGTTTTTGAACATTTCTTAACTATAACTATACCTATTTTGTATCATTAACATTTCTTACTATTGTGTAACATTCTATATATGTTCTGAAATAACAATGTTAATAATGTGAGGTGGAGGCAGAACAAAAAATAAACCAATTATGAACAATGAAGGATATGGACATTTAAAGCAGTATTGACCTTTTCTTTTGCCCTGATAGTTTTGGACATTTAAGACTCGTATTTATTTAGGTATGCAAACAAAAAAAGAACAAACAAACAAAAAAACAACATAGAATACTATTTAATTTTCAATTAATCATGTTTCAATAACACATAAAATTGTCTTTATAGGAATAATTCTCTGTAATTGTACTTACACAATCACCAGTATTTCAATAAAACAAGAAATAAATTGTGTTTTGTGGGTTCAATTACTTTTACATCAGGAACTGGGCTGCAACCCTCTTCTTCTTTCTGATTAAGTACGTGTTAATAAATCACATGTTAGCAGAGCTCTCTGCAGGGTCAAGGTGAGAGGAACTGGTTACATACAAGGTAAGGAAGCGTATTAACAAGCTTGAAATATGAAAATTGTCAGTCTCAAACCCTAAATGAATTCATTTGTGAAGTACTATACAGTAAATATGAATCTATTGTTTTTATCATCACCTACTGAGAGTAGGTATATATATATATATATATATATATATATATATATATATATATATATATATATATATATATATATAAAACTGTAACTGGAGAGTGTAACAAAAGTAATTTTGCTCTGGGATTATTAAAGTATTTCTGATTCTGATTAAATGTAGTTTGAAGCCAGCAATTAGACCAATAGGGATTTCTCTTTTAGATTCCATATGATGACTGATCATGTTTTATGTATGTCATTTTCATATTGCAAGTGCTTCTTCCCAGTTTAAGCAGGAGAAATTAAATACTACAAGAGTGTAGCAAAGAATATGAAAGGGCAATAATGTGTTACTCCATGCTCCAACCAATCAAGGAAAATGTCTCTTCAGCAATTTCTCTGTCAGTTAATATGACTATAACACATGAGATGTAAAACAAGTGCTATCAATGAAAACACCGTATGTAGCTAGATATCAGTAATTAAAAAAGATTAGCATGAGCAGCAAACCCTTGGTTAATTTCTATAGGGAGAGAAATTACACACCATTCAGGGAGGTGAGCACTAAAAAGTTAACACTAAGGCAGCTGTTTTTTATTTTATTTATTTTTTAGATAAAAACGTCTTGTCCATAATTTGTTGAGCTTTCTCAGCCGCTGTTGACCTGGCTTAGGAGAGATGTTCATTCTCATGCAAGAACTTGTAAACTGCTTTGGAAATGACTGGATATTGGGCAAATTGGTGTTCTGTTTTTTTTTTGTTTTTTTTCTACTGAAATTTGAGGAATCCTCCTGTTTACTGTTGCTTTTATTTTAAATTACATTCTTCACTCCTACCTCAAACCAGCTATTTTTCTGTCTATGAACATTTCATTTATCAGAAAAGTATCCCTTATCCTTGAGGTGAAGGTGAACAGCTGAGTATTCTATAGACACAAAACATCTCAGTTCTGTTTCAGCAGTGGCTCAGTGCTTTAACCTTATTAAAGTTACCATGTCCTGGATGACTGAGAAGCTTCACCAGCAGGGGGGTGTTGAAGAAGTGCTGTGTAGACTGCAGATGTACAGTGGACAGGAAGTAAAAGACAAGAGGCGGTGTTGGGTTATGAAAGTCATAAAAAAAAAAAAAGAGGAAACTATACATTATTTTTAATCAACAGCGTGCAAGTTTCCAGAGAACTAAACGCTTATCTTGATCGTGGGACTCTACCGGAAACTACGAGGAAAAAGGTAAAACTGATTTTTTTTCTTTGAACTGACATATTGCTCCTGCAATTGTATTTATTAGAGTCTGATTTGGAAATGCTGTTTGTTCACAGAGTTCTGCTTCTTCAGACCCAATAAGGCAACCATAAGATTCGATCCGTCATTACATCATAACTAACCACGAAGCAGTTAGAGATCTTTAAAATCTTCATTTGTGGTTATTAACTATAAAAAAATGGCCACTCTGTTTTATCAAGTAACACTGTTTGGATTCATCCTTTGTGCTATTCAGCAAATCTGCAGCTACAGCTTTAATAGCTGCATTGGAGATCCATATTCAAACATGACAAGTTTCCACTGCTACCGTCAAAAACAAAAGAACATGTCCGGCATAGTAGACGACCTCCCTGGATCTGCTGTCAACCTTACAGCGTCTTTCAACGTTATTGAGACCATTCTCAACAACAGCTTTGCTCATTTACCAAACTTAGAGTTCCTCAGTTTAGCTCAGAACAATCTGACATTGATTGATCCTTTGGCCTTTCAGAAGCTATATCACCTTAAGTATCTAAATATGTCCTTTAACAATTTATCAGAGCTCAGCTCTTTATTGTTTGAGGACCTGCATAACCTCACCTCCCTCTCCCTGGCAAACAACAATTTAACAATGTTGCCTGGAGAGATTTTCTCCAACGTTGCTAATCTAGAAATATTAAATATGAGGAACAACCATCTCACAAATTTTTCCATGGTAATAAAGTCTGTAGCAGCTCTTACAAATTTAAAGTTCTTAGACCTTTGCTTAAACAAACTGACTTCACTCAGAGATTTAAATACATCACTACCACAGTCGTTAAAGGTGTTACACCTATGCAAAAACAATCTGCACACTTTGGGATGTAGGCCATCACTATTCAGGTTCATCAATCTTCTTGACTTCTCATTCAATTCTAAACTACCTTCCATAGCTTTACAAGGAGTGGATCTAAGCAATGTTAAGAGGCTGCTATTGCAGTCAACAAGTGTCAAGGCAGTGGAGTTTTTAAACATCAGCAACATCAATGCAGGTCATGTTGCATTCTCAGGGATGGGTCTTAAGAATAACACCCTTCTTATGGATTTATGCATTTTTCTAAGAAGAAAGCTAAAATGGATAAAAAATTTAGATTTACGACATAATTACATCAAGAATATAAATAATCATACCTTATCAATATGCCCTAAAATCATTGGAACCTTAGATTTATCCAATAATGAGCTTAAAAAAGTAAACTGCCTGGAGTTTTTAAACAATCAAACCAATATTAGTAAGTTTAATGCAGAGCATAACCATCTTACTTTACTACCAAGTTGCATAAGGAAAAATGGGACTTATTTTAATAGTTTAAAAGAACTGAGCTACCGTTACAATCGAATCCTTTCAGTCAATAGATACGCTTTCAGTCACATGCCAAATATTGAGACGTTGAAGCTCAACATAAATAATTTAGCTTTTCTCGATCGCAAAGCCCTAAAAGGTCTAAAAAGACTTAAGACCCTGCGGCTAGACAATAATCTCCTCACTGATTTGTTTAAAGAAACATTTAGCGATAATTACAACCTGCAAATCCTCAATCTACGCAACAATCGCATTTCTGTCATATTTAATGGAACCTTTATGAACCTAGGAAAATTAATAACTTTGGACTTAGGAGGTAATAAGATCGCCCATTTTCAGCAATCAGGCCTTGAGGGGTTAAAAAGTCTCTCAAAATTCTACCTAGATGGAAACTACCTCAAACAGATTGACTCGTCATACTACAGAGCTTTCCAAGACACTCTTACAGTGCTGGATTTACAAAAAAATCTGATTAATTACCACTCAGAGGTTACAATTTCACCATTTGAAAAACTCAGAAAACTCAGGAATCTGAAACTTGACAACCAGAGAAATCATGGCTTAGTACTTTTACCCAAAAGCTTTTTCAAAGGACTCCACTCGCTAAAATCGCTGTACCTTACCAACAACCACATATCTAATCTTAAGCCTGAAGTTTTTGATGATCTGAAAAGTTTAGAGTTCCTCACGCTAGATAACTGCTGCGTCGGAGTGGCCAAGTTACGACCAGGCGTCTTCAAGAATCTTAGAAATTTGACCAGGTTGGTTGTAGAAAATATGGGAATTCAGAACTTCTCCAAAGAGGTTTTTGGGAATCTTACACACTTACGCATTCTTCAGCTAAATCGAAATGTGATGCAGAGCATTTCTGTAGATGCTCTTGAGAGCTTGCCTAAACTCCAGTACCTTGACATACGTGATGTCCCCCTTAGCTGTGCCTGCAAAAACAGTCTTCTGCAAAGTTATACAGTGAAAAACCCTAATGTTCAGGTCATCTCTCTGTACGCAATGCCCTGCCAAGAGAATAAAAAAATAAAATTTCATAATTTTGACACCAGAGTTTGCTACATAGATCTAGGAAAGTATATGTTTTTCAGTACTGCAGCTGTGCTATTTGTGTTTGCAGTCTCTCCTTTACTTTATGTCAAATTATACTGGAAAATGAAGTACAGCTATTATGTGTTCCGTTCCTGGTTTGGTGATCAATGGAATAGACTCAGAGAGAAGGAGGAAAAATGCAAATATGATGCTTTTATTTCCTATAATTTCTCTGATGAAGAGTGGGTCATGAACCAGTTGCTGCCCAACTTGGAGGGAAATGGATCGTCTTTTAAGCTCTGCCTGCATCACAGGGACTTTGAGTTGGGTCGTAACATTGTGGACAACATCGTCACTGCAGTGTACAGCAGCAGGAAAACTATCTGTGTGGTAAGCAATAACTTTCTACGGAGTGAATGGTGCTCATTGGAAATCCAGCTGGCAAGTTACAGGCTGTTTGATGAGCACAGGGACGTTCTACTGCTCGTGTTTCTGGAGCCGATCTCTGACAGACAGATGTCATCCTATCACCGCATGAGAAAAGTTATGTTAAAAAAGACCTATCTTCAATGGCCTGGCTCTGACTGCACAAATCCTTCACAGGCCCAAGAGCTGTTCTGGAATCAGCTTCGCAGGGCAATCAGAACAGGCAGTGCACTGGAAACAGAACACAATGAGACAGACGAAGACTTTCCTCCCACCAACAACAAAAAAGAAAAACTCCTGTCAGATGAAAACAATCTTTGTTTACCTTAAAATGATTTCCTGTGTTGACTGAAAGAAAAACTACATTTTGATATCAGCTCTAATATGTTGTTTTTTTCCAGAAAAAACACCACTAGCATTTAATGTTGGATGATCAATTTATATCTGTCTTTCAAAGTTAATTTTTACTTTGTACACTTTCAATAAATGCTGCCCTCTGTACATAAAAATAAATAAATGTAAAGAAACTTTCAAAACAGCATTTTTTTTTTTTTTATAAAGAAAACCCCCACTCTACAGAGAACTGTATTTTTTTTGCTGTTTTATATGTTATGCAGTGTTTGGCATAATAAAACATGCTTTAAAGATGCAAACCTTGCATAATTTGTTGTTGCCTTTTATGAAAATGAAAGAAACTGTTTATGATGACATATATATCTATATCTATATAAACTTTCCATTTAATATGATTCAAATAAGCAAACAGGCACACTTTATCTTGATGGTATTAAATCTTAAGAGAAATTTTTGCAGGCAGTCATCTATCTAGACATCAACAGCATCTTAGTACAGTCTCATAGGAGGAAAAGACCAGTGCTCAGGGCTGTGTAAGGATGAAGAACGAGGAGCCAGACTTTTTTCAAGCATGTGGGATGGGGGATAGTCCATCATGTCCGCAGGATTGGACCTGAAGTTTGGGTGAAAAGGCGAAAGCTGACCAAAAGTCTGCAAGAGATTGTTCTGTGGGCGACTGTGACTTTTGGATTGGTAGACAGGCGCAGAATAAAATCTGTCAGTTTCAGATTCGTTCTGTTCCTGGGGAAAAAGTTGCGTATCTGCTAAATGTCCATCTTGTTGCATAGCTGCTAAATGTCTATCTTGGTATGGAAAGAAATGCTGGACTTTGCTATGATGTGGCTGCTGCTCACTAATCCACTGTCTTGACTTCCAAGACTGGTTCAAAAATTGGCTTTGAAATGAATTGTGCATAGCTGACTCTTGAGTCTTAGATTTGGTTTCTTCCCAACACTCTGGCCTTGAGACATTTTCTCCTTTGGGTAATATTTGATAGTGAGTAAACAAGTCATTTACTGAGGTCCCAGAAGGCTCAAAGTCCATGAAGACTCGAGGAGAGTAATCAGGTCTAAAGGTTTCATCCAGAATGTTGACAAAGGAATCAGCTGGGTTTGCCACCTCCTCAGCAACCTGCATACAGAAAAACAGAAAACACCAATGTAATACAAGAGGGCTTTTAAACATAAAAGCATAATAATAAAAGACTATCCTATTCTAACCTTAAACTTTGTGCTTCTGCCATTTCACCTTTGAATCTGTTTTGATTCAAAGGTAAAGGAATTCTTTAAATTTAAGCAATGAAGATCAAATATGTGATAGTCCAGAAAGCACCTCATAGTGTTAGAAATTGGATGTGGTTACTCAACCTTTTAGGGCTGTTAAAGTAATAATTTAACTAAACATATTTTCTTGGTTTGGCTACAAAGAAATTTTTTTTTACAAGAGATATCAATGTGTGCTTTGGGTAAAATTACCCCTTCTTTGCATATCTACCTTTTTTTTGATTATTTATTTTTTTTACATTATATACTTAAAGAAATCTGGAAAATAAATAAATAAATAAAAATATTGAAAAAAATCCTTTTTGTTTTTATTGAAGCAGCAATTGAAAATACGTCAAAATTGGAATCTGAATATAAATTCTCACATTATATGATAGAATTTTAGTTTAGCTTTTACAGTACTCAATGACAAAATAAACTCAGGCGTTTTTAGGTATTTTACACACAGCTCACTTAAAATAATATTGTTTTTTTGTATGTAATGGACACATATAAAGTGTTTTCAACATAAGCTTTTGCCAACTGTCAAAAGACCACACCAGTATAGAAAGCCTAGCAGTTTTTGATTATACTGTAGTTGAAATAAAAAACAACTTTCAAAACAGAGTTAACCTTTAGTGAAGCAGAAATGGAAAAAAAAGACTATATATAACAGAACTCCAACAAGTAAATGTTAAATATTAGAAATATATTTACACAAGTTGGGCTATTAACAGAGTCTTGAATCACCACTGAATACCTCAGAACTTGAAAAACAAAACAGAAAACACTCAAAAGATTGCAGAAACAGCTACTGTGCAGTCACTCTTATACTCTGCTGCTGATGTGTGTTACACAGCTTTTGTCAGATTGTATTCTTGCTCCTACAATATTTGCTTTTAAAGCAATTATGACTTAGCTAATGGTACGTACTGAGCTCCATCCCTGTGTTTTCAATGTTAAGTAAGTAGATCTTACCAGCTGTAGACTGTGACGTGACTGTGAACTGGATTTCCTGCAAAAATTTTCACTTCCTGTGGTTTTCAAAGATGTATCTGAAAGAGGGAAACAAAACTGGAATTCCATCAGTGCTCACTACTGTTTTCTCTTTAAATATATGCTGACCACATGCATTCATGTTACCGGTAATCCATGTTGCTAAGATACGATTCATGACAAAGACAAAATATTAGCAGTTTGAAGTATAAGTGAACAAGAAGAGAAATTTTAAACTGATGTGATTTCCTCTGAAGCTTTAATAAATGAAAACCAAAAACGGATTAGTACTTTCTTTAAAGATATCTTCTAAAACGTAAATCACTTTAAGAAATTGTGAACCATGTTATTTCTAAAACATTTAACTATACAAATGTTGTGGAAAAATATTTTGCACGTGATTGAACCTTTGCTGTTGTAACTACAGGCCAATTAGTTAAACAGATAGGACTGGGCGATAAACCAGATCTTTACCGTTACAGTCACTTACTACGATAACCGAGGGTTTGCATTCCCCTTTAAGACACGGCAGCGTGTGTGTAATCATGGGACTTCACCAATCCGGTCAGAAGCGTAAACAAAGAGAATGTCGGATGAGCCCAGTGAAGAAGCAGAGATGAAGCTAAGCATGCGGCAGTCAAGTTTTGAATGAGGGTGTATGGCTTTAAATTATTCACATCATTCTCACTTTGCGCTTTGTTCGATGGTTTGAAAATTATGCCATAGACGTTGAGCAAATGAACACAAAATGCAAAGTTTGTGAAAAATGTCGGGACTACCCAAAGTAACACATCCAACATCCACCGCCTACAGCACAATTCTCGCTGTTGAGTTCAAAGATGTGCAAAAGGCTCCATTACATTTTGTGCAAAAATGTTTGCGAAAGGTAAAATGTTTCTCCTGTTTAATGATGCATTGGTAATTGTTTAAACCTGAAAAGTTACAAGACTTTCATATTTTATTGAAAGTGATACCTAATGTGATTTATTCAATAAATACATGAAAAATAGGTCTGTTCTGTTGAATTTCCTACACATGCCATTGATTTGAGAGAGAGGAGCCGGGGCATTTATCTTGCATTTATCATTATTGAGGTAAAACTGTCCAATTTATCAAGATATTAATTTGAGGCGCAGCCCTATAAACAGATATCACATAATCAATGATTGATTGAATGATTGATGTGTTCCCACAAAGATCCATAGTTGTAATAGTATTAAGATTTACATACGAGCATGTTAGTCTGAAAAAAAGCCATCTGAACTAATCCCATTACCAAAATTAAGGGTCAAATCTTTAACTGCAACGTTTCTTACAATGTTGAATAAATAAAAAAAACATTAAGCAATTTTCCTTATGTCCTATCTTTTACCTGTAGAGAAAAGGTAATCTTCTCCCATCACGTCTTTTTCTTTCTCCAGTGTTGCCTTTGAAGGCTCTATAAGAAATCCCAGAGATCTCTGTAGCTCCTTTAGGTTTTCTTGTAGGCACGGTCCATGTCTCTCCTGCAGGGATTTTAGCAAAACCTCTTTGCTTTCTGACAACGGGTTTCTCCTGATTGAAACTGGAAGATGTAGGGACTCTGACAAACGTGCAGCCAATACATGTGTGGTCTTTAAAATAAGGTCAGGATCTTTGTCAGAGAGGGAGGGAACCTGTCCAAATGGACTTAATATTAGATCATTCTCTCTAGTCTGAGTGTCCTGGTTCTTATAAAGCTGCTTTTGATCACAAATCATCTCATTTGCTGTCCTGTTTAAAGTATTGATTTTATCTCGATTGTCAAAAGGTTTCCTATAGAAGGCTTCGTTCATTCCAGACAAACACTTATCTGTACTTTTAGTCTTGGTTGTTTGGATGCTGTCTTTAGATTGGTTAAGGCTTTTACGACTTTCACTAGAGGAGTGAAGTTGTAGGACTCCTGGTGTTACAACTGTCTCTTTATTGCTGGACTGAAGGTTTATCGTTTCTATATCTTGGGAGTCATCGTGAGTTTTTGTAGTAGCATTCACTTTCTTTTTACTTGCCATACATCCTTCAACATTAGCACCCAGCAAACCATCACTGGACAGCAGAACAGGACTGCAAGTTGTTGGAGATAAATTTGAGGAGTAATCCTTTACCTCCTCTGTATTCTGTTCTCTTTGAAGTAAACAGTTCTTTCTTAGCAGGCGTTCAATGTCAATGGACTTTACCTCATGATTAAAGAGACCATGGTGTCCTGTAAGACGGCTATCCGTGATAATACTTGGCTCCTGTGTAACGAGAGGAGCACTTGAAATTGGTGTTTTTTTCCTTGTTGGCAAATGACGACATTGACAACAGTTTGGGAAAAAGGTCAAGTCTTTCCTGCTCTGGCAAAAACAGTCGCGGAGGTGTGCCTTGTTTTTTGAGGTGCCTTTTCCAGCCTTCTGATATCTTTCCTTTCTGGTCTTCAGACGTCTTATTTTGTGCTGCTTGTCTTTGTGTTGATTAAAATATTTCGAGTTCCCACTCTGTGCGTTGAAACAGAAACACTTGCCATCTGCTGCTTTTGACTGCTCTTTATATAAATCACTTCTCTCTGGTGAGGACCTGCCACATCTCTGGCTCATGGTGCAGGGTGTTCTGTGGAGAGAATAAAGATAAAATAAACTGATGAAATGAAATTATTAGGTGGATATAGACCCTGAAAAGGAAGCACTCCCTTTAGTAGATCAAATAACTTACAAGAAAAACATTTAGAAAATCTAATGATCACCATAAAACAAGTTATGTTTCCTGGGACTTTCCTGTATTTTGTCATACTGCAATAGCAAAACAATATACTTTTGATATTTTATGTCATAAAGCAACTGTTAGGTTTATTCTTTATACCTCATGTGCATTGTTACTCTGTTAGCCAGATTAGATGGGGTTGAAGGCCTTCCTTCAGATGGTGGATCACACTGTGTGTACGGAGGTCATCTAAATAGGACAGCCTTCTTGTCTTTTAAAGATACACAGGACAAGGACACATCTTGGAGCCGGACTGATAGAGGAGAGCTACCTGTGTACTTTTACAGGTGTGAAAGCACAAGGTGCTCAAAGGACTTCTTAACCACAGAGGTCAGGAAAATTCATCTAAAGTCATTAAGTCCTGTGGACCTTGGCATCTTGGGAACAGGGATAATGGAAGATTTGAGGCAGGTTGGCAAATGTCTTAATACGGTTACTTCTCTCACTCTATGTCTCTCTTTTCTGCTCCTCTTGCTGCTTGGCCCAAACAGGAGGTGGTTTTACAAAGCCTCTTTCTCTCTATCCCGTTTTCCTTTTAATGAGAAAATCAACACACACAAATACAAAAATTATAGAAATGAAAACAATATGCCAATCCCCATCATATTTTAAGGAGTTTTATTTGTCAATTTAACACATTTTGACATAAAATGAAAATAGTTTTGTGGGTTCCAGAGCAGCCCAATGTCAAAGAATGAAATTGTAAAAATAGCCATTAAAGGATCTTTTATTTCCGGGTGGATCCTCTAAATAAGTGGTCCTCTTAATTGTCAATCATTCTGGTTATATGTTTACGTAAGGCCGTCCTGTTAGCTATATTTTTCTGCACATGCGCACTTTCAGGCGTATATCTGTCGTGAGCTATGGTTTCACAGTCACTGATGCTCACCTTTCTCACAACAGTTCTTTGAAAATGGCAGAGGGTCTTAAGAGAAAAAGTGTTTATGAAGTGAATGAGAAGAAAAGAAAGGCTGCAGAAGAGGCAGATATATCCCACAATGTTTTGTGTGGAAAGCTCTCCTCGCAAATCATTATGGGATTTACTGTAACAGCGTCCTGCTGTCGCCATAGGCTGTTGCTTCGGCTGCAACTGATAAAAAGATGGTGCAGGCACCGCGCAGTGAAGGAGGAGTTATTAACGGAGCAAAAAGCAGTGAATATCTGTCTAAACGTTTGCTATAAAGTCCACTATGTAGTCCATTTCTCTATACAGTGATTGAAGGATTTAGGGGTTAGAGCTTACATTCGGGAAGCATTAGCTTGTATGAGCTATGAGAACAGCAACTTTTAAATAGTGTGCATGATGACAGATGGGCTTGTGCATGCTCTCGCATACGCTTTTTTTTTTAAATGGAGAGGGCAGGCCTTTTAAAAATATATGCAAAAATCCTCCACAATACCTTTAATAAGTTAATGCATATATATTTTCGAATAGCAAGATAAAATATGCACATTATAACAATCATATAAAATAAATAAATATAGGAGTCTACAACATTATGGCCATTGTAGGTAAAAATACAGCCTTTTTAGGCTTTTTGATGGACCATTATGGTGACTCTTGAAGTAAGGGCAAGTCACCACAGAAAATTATTTAGACTTTTCTTTTGAAAATTAACCCAATGTTTTATTTTGTTTCTGCACATGACTTCCCGTCCCGCACGATCTGCTCTGTGCCAATGTGTTGAGCTTTAGCATCCAACAGAAATATGAAACAGTTCAGAATCCAACACTCAGGGATCAACGCTGAATGAGTATTATAGTGTATTAGTATTAGTATTATATGCGCGTGACGTTCAAATGAGCAGGAAAGATGCACTCAAGATTACTTCAAACCAGACAGCTGCACATCTAGCCAATAGGTTGACTGAAGACATGGGGGCTGACCAGCAAACACCCGGTGGCTGTTACAGACAACGCTCCAAATATGAAGTGTCACATCCGCTTGCTCAAGTGAGGCTTCACTTTTTCACTTTTCACAAACAAGTTTGCACTTATGAGACTTATGAGAGTTTTGTTCACATCTCAAGTTTAAACTGTCTGATTTACAAGTTTGCACTTTGTGTTTAATGTGACAGGAAAAATTAAAATACATGAGTATTTCGAAACACAGTTGAACCACTTTCATTATTGTAAAAAGAGATCGAATCGAAATTAATCAATTTACAACTGCATTAATCAAAATTGAATCGATTCAGGACTTTGGCGAAAATACCCGGCCCTAGTAATATATATCATAATTTAGACAAAATAGATGTTTAAATAAAAACATTGTATTTAGAAAAAAAATCTGCATGATGTTGTTGAACTGCTTCTATCTTCTTAACATCCACTGGGTCGCCAGTTCTCTGTTTTGTGCATTTACATTAAACACAGCATTACACCTGAAAATAACCCTGGTTAAACTCTTACCAATATAGACATGTTATATATCCTTAGTAAGCTTAAATTTTCCACAATTCAACCGCCAATTTTATTTTATGGACACCATGAGCACCAAAGCACAATTAATAAAGATGTGCAGCATGTTAAATCCGAATTTTTTAAATAAAATTTCGATTTCCTATCTTTAAAGCGTACCTGAGGCTGCATTATAAATCCAATCTTAAATTGTTTATATTCCATTATATTTGTCCGTAAGGGTCTAAGGATAAAAAGTAATCCATCATATTCGTAATAAAAATATTCCATGATTACAAAAAAAAAAACAGCGTATGAGTTACGCTTGGAGCCTACGTAAATAAAGTCATTTAGCCTATACACTTTAGACAGTATATTTAGTGGATTGGCTAATGTTTTGTAGGTACCACCACAGCCAGAGTTTATGGATTTTAATTGTTTTTTGGGGGAACCATAAGTGCAAGAATGCCACACATCAATTAAGTCATTTAAGATAAACCTGGAGACTTAATTTCGGAGAATAATCCTCTTTAATACCTTTAAGTGTGAAAATTAGCTTTCCGGTTTAGACTAATTGAATATGAAAATATTTTAGCCCTGCCACAAAATTACATGAAACAAGCAATCCCAATAATCTTATGGTCAGCTTAGTCAAATAGTGTTAATAAGGATATGACTGCTGATTATATGCTATTTATAACAGTGGCTTTAAATTAAACCTTTTCTGCCAACTACGGTTTCTTCAAAGGAAAAAAAAAAAAAAAAAAAAAAATCACTTCCATCACTGCTTTGCATCAAAAGGAGCTTAACAGAAAAATGTATTGCTGCTAGCTAGTTAGATCTCAAATAACACATTTTCCTAAATTGTCAAGATCTTTGAGATGAGGGGTATATTTACCGAGGTTAAAGTTTCACAGTGCTCAAAAATGTCCCATACTATTATCTACAAATGAAGATTCAACAAAGAGATCAAGTTATCAACAGAGCAGGACTTGTTCCAGAATAGCAGCCGAAAGGTGTGTTTCCTTATGCACTTTAAAGTATTTTTTTTTTAAATAATGGAAGAACAGCAAAACAGCCTTTCTTCTCAAGAAAAACATTGATAAATTATTAAATCTCTGTAATACATCATAATACCGGGCTGCAGATGAGGAGCTCAAAATCTGTTTCATGTAAAATGCCATGTCAGTTTTAGAGTCTGGAAAAAGACTATTCTCTAAGAAAGGATCAATTCTACCTGGAGTCTTGTGATGTGCTGACAGAGAAGAATCCAGTAAGCATTTATGAATTGCCTGGAGAAAAAAAAGAAAAAAGACAGAAATTGGTATTAAACCATGTTCCAGATGAACATGGTTTATTAAATCAATGTTCAGATCCTGATACTTTTCAGAAATAGTTGACACTTTGTTAACATAATGTACCTCCCAAGAAATGTATTTAACATCTAATTCTTCAGTATACCATTATAATAGCTAACACATTTCACAGAACAGATCTATTAAACGAAACAGAAAAATCAGTAAGAAAATAAATGTTTTCACATTTTTAAAACGTTTTGTAATGAGAGTCCCTTAAATACTCTTGAAAGACTGTTATGGTAGTTTAAAGCACACAGAAGCACATTTAGGGAAAGAGAAGTAAGCAAACCTGTCCAAGTGCGAATACAAAGACTGTAGCGACAGTGATAGGAACCACAGCAAGACAATAAGCCTGGATTTATCTTTCCTGTTCAAAGAAAAGACTGTTACCTGAGTCCTACTTCCACAGGTTTCTCTGGAAAAGGTCCATAACTGTGAAGTCTATACCTGCCAGAAAAAGAAGAAAATATATATTATTTCGCCATTCAAGTCACAGGAAACATAACATGTTTTATGGTGAAAATAACTAATGTCTTCAAGCTTTTTTTCAAATCTGTGTTAGATTATTATCATTTTTTTTACATTTAATTTTGTTATAAAATCCTAAATTGTTCTTATACAACCAAAATCCAACATCCTGTAAAAGTTTGCATCAAACAGGATCTTAGTAAGAAATATGGTCCACCTAAAATGCGGGTTCATTCAATGAATACTAATAAATTTACCACAATAAAAAATGCACAAGCTTCTGCAAGCATGTTTTAAAAGCTGACATGAGGCTCCGCGCTAATTACAGCATGTCTCACAGCATCCATGCGCCTTTTATATATATATATATATATATATATATATATATATATATATATATATATATATATATATATATATATATATGTGACAAAAAACTCCTCCTCGTTTGGAAAACAGCGGTTAGCCAACGGATAACGTCCAACAGGTGTAAGCTAGCCTAAATCACACCTGCATGAAATAGCTACTGTAGATTAAAAAAATAATAATAATCAAATCAGTCCAAATGTGTTTTAACGAACTAAAATAGACTATTAGTGGTAAGATATTAATGTATTGAAACTCCGTTTTTAACAAAACTTTAACTTTACCATAACGGCCCGGTTATTTTTTTTTCCTCACCCTTGAATCTACCGTTGCTCGGCAACACATCGAATCTGCGTTTCTTTGTGCAAAAGTAGAGCGCAGGACTGACGCTAGCGAAGAGCTCCTGGGAGGGCGAAACCATTTCATACAAACAATGGGGGTAAACTCTCCTGTTGATAATGATATTCTCTTTTTAATCGGATGTTATTTGTAAAATTATCTATACATGTTCAGTATATTTTTAAATGAAAAAATATTAATGTCTTAATTTTCTCAAAAAATTTAATTACTCGATAAATCAAGATTTGGTCCCTGTTTGGTGACAGTGGTAAAGCCACACACTCACTAAAAAAAAGCACTTCCTGTAAAGGAATAGGAAGATATCGATATTTTGGATTTAATGATAGCCTTTTTTACATGAATATTTCCGACTGTAACTCTCATTTGAAGCTCTTACGTTTTCCACTCTTCACACAACAGTTTTTGCATAATTCAGCACCTGGTCTTTTCAGTTTTAAGCTGCATCATTTGGTCTCCACCTAAAAAGCTAGCTATTGTGGCTAACTCTGTCAGCCCCAACCCTGATTTATTTATCAAACTGAGCGACAGGCTGTTAGCTGATTGGTTTGCGTTCTGTTGACACAACATCAACAAAAGGCTACGTGACCTCGTTCCAAGTCAGGTAAAGCCAAAAATATGAGCGCAGAAGCCTCAAACCCAGCCGCCACACCCACTCCCTGTGAAGATACTCAGGGAGATGGACGGTGGATGTCCCAGGTATGTGACACAACGTGACCATCGTGTGGATTGGTTAAATTATGCAACCCGACTGTATGCACATGGGTCAATTTTAATGAAAAGAAATGCTAGAACTTTAATTATTATGTATCTTAGCCATGTTTATTAGTTTTTTGACTTATTTTTTTCATCTATCATACTCCTATTCCAATCATTTACCATTCCGACTCCTGATGGTAGCCGTTTTTTAAGTTTTAACATCTTTTTCTCTTTTAGCATGTCCGATTTGTTTCTGAGACCAAAGACAGAGAACCTGATGTTATCTTTGTGGGAGATTCTCTTGTTCAGCTTATGCATCAGTTTGGGGTAAGATGCACATTCTTGCATAGCTTGGTCTTAAATTGAAAGAAAACAAAAAGGAAATCAAGAAATGTGTAACACTCTTTTCTCCTTTTTTTGTAATTTAATTGAATACTTCACTAACAGGCTGCTGTCTTACAATATGGGGTCAAAGAGGCAAAAGGAAATAAACAATGGAGATGCTAATGAACACGTTTAACAGTACAGTTTAAATAGTACAATAATGAAGTGCAATGATTGCAAGATCCCTGCCTAAAGCCAGGAATGTTATAGCTAATTGTGGTGCTTAATGAGTTATTTGACAAGAAGACAAAGACGACTGTCGTGCCAAATTAAGACAAATGCAGTTTATTTGTGCAAAAATTGAAGTATAGCTGGACTGTGATACAAAATCGAGCAGAAAAGCAAATGGTACAAGTCTGCAGGCTTTTAACTAGTCACCTGATTTCCCCAAACAACGCAATGCTTATTCTACAAAAGTCAAGCCAAAGGAAGAAAAAACAAAACGATAATAAACAACTGAGAACCGTTGCAGTAGAAACCCTTGAAAGGATTTTGTAGTTATATTTTTTTTCTTTTTAAATGGCATATGACGGTATAACAAAATAAATGCATGTCTCACATTGCTGGAACTTATAAACAATCCCTCTCCAGTTTGGTTTAAGTACCATAAACTAAATGGCGCATAGATAAAAGAACATACAGGTAGTTAAATGTATCTATTGATAAATATCCTTTTCCATAATCACATCCTGTCTACCGGATTAGGTCAGTGTTAGCTTCATATTGGAACATTTATGTTTCGTTTTTGCAGATATGGCGACAGTTGTTCTCTCCTCTCCATTGCCTTAACTTCGGAATTGGAGGAGATGCAACACAACATGTGCTGTGGAGGATGAGCAACGGAGAACTGGATAACATCAGCCCAAAGGTTTAAAATGCTGCCAGTAGAGAAAAACATGAGCTTGCTTTTTTTTTTTTTTGCACACAAGAGACTGATTGTATTCAGCTCGGTCGGTGCTAATTTTCAAGCTCCAGGTATAATGACACCATGTTCTATGTGACAAGCTGTCAGACTTTTGTTTCCTGTCTCTTATTTTTGTTGCTGCAGGTTGTAGTGCTTTGGGTTGGCACGAACAATCACGGTCACACAGCTGCACAGATTGCTGGTGGTATCATGGCAATTGTCCAAGTTATTCACAACAAGCTGCCCCATGCCCACACGCTTGTGCTTGTAAGTTCGTCTGGATAAATGCATTTAATGGAGCGCTAAGCAAGTTACCTGCATGTCACTGGAAAAGAAAAAAATGAAGTTCACAGAACCATCAAACTATGCATATTTTCTCACCCTTTTAGTGACATCTCAGCTTTCTCATTACTAAAGACATCAGTGTCAGAAAGATAACATTGTTCTTTAGTGCTGGACATGTTTTGCAGAGAGGAGCTTAGTATGTTACCGTAATGCATCACTGATAAGCTTTCAGACCTCATAAGTTTTTTTTTTTTTTTCATATAATTTGGTCAAGGACGTTGCTTTTCAAATAGTATTAATTTCCTGTGAACTATTTCACTCTTCACCACACTGAAACTGCAGAACATATTGAAAGACAGTGTGTTTTCTTGGAAGACCACCAGGAGTAAATGGAGATGAGGTTTTAAAGTCCTTTTAAAAACAATCTGAAAAGGTTGGAAAGCATTTGTCAAACCCCATCAGTCAATACTTTGTGGAATCTGCTTTAACTATCATTTCCCTGGCTGTTGTTCACAATATATTTCTCACTGCACAGCATAGACAGCTGTTTCTTTTCCCATATTTTCTTTGTTGAATAAATGAGTCACTGTCAGGTAAAATAGATGGTTTATATATGATTTTGAATTTGTCTTTTTAGTTTAAGATTACCATTTGCTTAGGGGTCTGGAAATTGACTGGTACCTTTAGGACATAGAAAGATTCTTTGGCCTTTAGCAGGATGACCATCTTGAATTTTTTATGAAATGAGCTGCTTCAGTGCTAATGTCTACTCTACAGGGTTAAGTTGAAAGCTTTCGTTTAATGACTGTGGGACAATTTCAGAGGTCTTGTGAAAAAATATGAATGTAATCAACTTTCCATATGATTCCTTCACATTTCATAATACTAGAAATAAATATACCTTTTGATCTGATAAGCAACGTTTATCTGAGATTTCAAATTAATTACTTTGAACTCTTTCACACCATTTTTGATGCTAATAATAGAGAAATGGTAGAATAAAATTAATCTGACATTACACATCTCTCTTGCAGGGTTTACTGCCCAGAGGTAGGATGCCAAATCCTCTACGAGAGCGAAACGCCGAAGTGAACAAGCTAGTCCAGGATGCCTTGTCGTCTCTCTCCCATGCCTCCTTCTTTAACGTGGATCCAGGTTTTGTCCTCTCGGATGGTAGCATCTCCCATCAGGAGATGTACGACTACCTTCACCTGACCGCTCACGGATATCAGGCTGTGTGTGAACCCCTGCATGCTCAGATTAAGTCCCTGTTAGAAAAACCAGCAGAGAACTGAGCATGGAGTTTAGAAACATACACTACCACAGTGGTCTTCGTCCCTGTTTGCAGAGACTGTTGCCCGGACCTTTATAAAGCTTTGGACGTTGAATAGTATCAGCTTATTAAAGGGCTTCATTTAATCTGTATAAGCCTTCTCTATAATCAGGGTTGGTGACCACTGTTATTGATAAATGGACCATGAGGTTTTTTTTGTGTTTATGATAAAAAGATGAGATGTGTTGTGCTTTAGAGAGAATGTCCGTTTTGAACCCCTTTAGCTTTGTATCTGACCCCTTTAAGGTTTTTGGCATGAAATCGATAAGTTCCACTGTTACAAAGTGACCAGACAAACATGATGGCATCTCTAGGGTTCATGTGACACCAAAGGTAAATGACATTAGATCAGCTCACACATTTAGTTACTCTGAAAATAAAGCTTAGAAGTATGATTAAATTGTCCAGTTTAATGAAATCACTCTCCAGGTCAAACCATCAGTCTGCAATGTATTAAATACAAAAAATACACTTCGTCTTCATGAAGTGTTGCATATCTCATCCCTTTTGTTTTATGAGCCCTCTCATAAACCTTTGGAGAATAATGTAATTTTCTGATGAACTTATGAAGTATTTCACTACTACACTGCCTTCCTGACAGAACTGGAGCATTATCCAGTTGCAAAATGATCAAAAAATCTTGGGATTTGTGCCAGAATATGCATGCACACTAGAAACAACTACCCCTCTTGTTTGACTTTTCTTTTTATTTCCCTTTTCTTTGGGTTCTTCTTTTTCTATGGATTTATTTTGGATCTTAGTAGTATGAAAAGCTGAGGTGGTGCAAGAAATATAAGATATGGCTTTTCCTATAGTTAACTGGGAATCTTTTAATGAAGTCTTCACAGAAACAAACTGGAAACCGATCATAATGCTAATTCAGGACTATTATTTTCCTTACAAAACTGTGTCTTTATTGTAATTTTAATTTTCTTTTGTATACATTAAGTCCAATGAACAAAAAGCTGTCTTTGTCTATGTGGAAAATAGCTTACCGGTTCATTTTACATTATGTCATCTTACCTCTTTGCCTTTATATCTTTATATCATTTTCTCCCCACCTATTGTAGCGGCAGTAGACTACCATGTTAGTGACTGTGTATTTGTTGTGATCATCAATGTATTAGATTTATCCAGTTGCTTGTGCTTCAAATGTGAACTTTTCTGCAACATAAAGGCTCACTCGCCCATGAAAATACGCTTTTACACTATGATGCTTGGGAGCTGTTTGGAAAGGGAAAGTACCACGGAAACTTGAAATGGTCCAGGATGAGTAATTGTGCAAGGGATGAAAAAAATGCATTAAATTTCTAAACAAGACTTTTTTGGTGTCACCCAACTGATTTTTATCTGATCTTTTTGTTTTTTCAACATAATGACTGCCACTGAAGCAAAGCTGCACTGTGTTTCGATGGCTAAGATTTATTACTAGCCGGTGGGTTCAGCAAGAGTACACACCCGCACACCTTAACTCCACCATAGAGCACACACACCTTAACTCCACAATAGAACACACAGGTTTTTTTTTTCTTCTTCCCGGAACGCAATGAAGAGGCATTGCAACTTCTGAAACCTAAGGAGGGAGAACAAGTCCTTTGGGCTCACATCTAACAAAACTTCACGATAAACTTGATATGAGCAAATCATCTCTATAGCAGTGCTGGTAAAATATTAAAGCCTGTAATGTTGAGCTCGTATCTAAAATTCTGTTTAACCAAACATAGAAATGACAAACAGCTGAGGATAATTTTATTCAATTATAAATCCAGCTGAATGCGTCTCAGGTTCGTCAGAGGATGTTTGTGAACCATAACCAACTGTCCAGGAAAAAAACAACACAATTGTGTGGTTTACATAAAGCATCTTGTCTGATATTTAACACTCTGTGCTTTCAAATGCTATTAATTCAATCTGAAAGAATTTTTAAATAAGGTTGAGCAAAATGTTCAGCATATGAACAAAGCCAGAAGAGGTGTACACTAAAATAGTTCCAGCTGAGATTTTCAGTGACTTGGTTATACAAAATGTTTACACCTGGGACTGATTACAGGTTCAATATACATTAGTAAGATATTAATACCCAAAAGATTTTGAAATATAGAAGGATTTTAGTCACCTCTTTCTCAAGAATACTTAAATATTATAATGTATGCCAGCTATTCATCTTTCAAAGAAGGCTTTGAACTGCTTCTTAAAACTGAAAAGATGGTAGAAAAACATACAGAAATGGATTTGAAATTGGAGATTTTAATATAAAAAATAGAAGCAATATGATAAAAGGTTCATTATTCTGTTAAAAGGTCCAGAGGGCTGTTTCAGATCAGTTTTCTATTTTTTTCTGACTACAAGCTGTTACTCAAACCGAGATAAGATTTCTTGGCAAGTGTTCATGTCCATTCTCAAGAGTGAAGGGTGGGTACATGTTTCATCCTGCTGGTAAGGCATGAATGTGCTACGGATGTGATATAAGGACAAACTGCCAACCTTTATAAGGAGCCAGGGGGGGACAGACAGCTTACATTTCACAATAGTTGGTGCACGAACTGGATTTCTTTATTGAACAACCTGACAATCGGACTTCACTCCAACATGGGGCCAAAGCTGATTTTGCTGCTTGGACTCGCACTGCTCCTTCTCATTGACTGTGGCAAAGGTAGCAATAAATAATATAAAATACTTGTAAAATTAACAATTTTTGTGACTTATAATAGTGAGATGTTATGAGGCTTTATTTCTGTTATTATCTTGATAGGTGCACCTGAGAATAGTGATCAGTCTCTGATTGCAAGGGCAAAAACTGATGGTATGGTGGCTTGATTTTATTTAATGCAAAACTTAAATGTCAATTTCTTTTTAGTTTATATTTTCTTTTTATTATCTTTCTAAAAGTTGTATCTGTGCTGTAGCTTCTCCTCAGGGACGCCGAATAATAACACTGAATAGAAACCGAAGACACAACAAAAGACACTGCAGCTGCAAAGGTGAAAGAAATCTCATGGAAGACTGAGACCGCATATAACAATGTACATTATTCGACCCCATTTTCTTTTTGTTATTCCACAACAGGAAAGGACTCGGAGAATGCAGTTTGCCCATGCAACACGGAGAAACGTGAGTTTACCAATGTGTAGACGCGCAAAAATAATCCAGTTCAAACTTATAGATTTTATAGGAATCTAAAATCTATTTTCTTTGACTTTTTTTTTTTTTTTTTTATCTCCAAGGTAAATCGAAAAACAAGCAAAGAAAAAGGAACCATCCAAAGCAGAAAGAGTACGTTTGGTCTCAACCTATTTGAGCAACAGTCCTTCCTACTATGCCAGCATATATTGAAGCAATAGACTTGTAATGATCATATCATGTCTTTATTTGTAATTTTTTTTATACAGGTTTTACATTTTAATCAAAGTGCTCATAAAAGTTTACACACAAATAAATGTTACCACAAAATATATGTATTCCTCAATAAAGTCCATGTAATCAATAATTCAGCTTTCTTTCTTGATTAGCAAGTAAAAACAATTAAATATATGTTTCTGGATTTAAATACAGTTTAAATAACATGTTGTTTAACTAAGAAAAGTTTGAAAATATAATTTCTATAGAGGGATTTGCAGGTTATTTAAAAAATTGCACTCTGGACTATTGTAAAATGGCCTTATAATATAGCTAACATACTTTAACTAAGGATAGAAGGGAGAACAGTGATATCACAAGAGAAACTGACATGTTTTGTAAATGATTATATACTTTAGCTGAAAAACTATAGAGTATAGTGTATTATTGTGGTAGTTATGATGAGATTTTTGTTGAAGACTGCATGGGGACGGGCAAGTGAACTGCAGGAAGGCAGGACTCAGAGAAACAGAAAGTGGGCAAGGAAGGGATACAGGCCCAGTAGCAGCAGAGCTCCTTTGCCTTGGATGCAGATTGCAGAAGCATGATCTGATCAACACAAAATCAGCAAAAAATTAATTATATTGTCGAACTCTCACATTTTTTTGGCATTTATTTTAACAATTGTCTAAAGTGTAATTAAAATGAACTCATAATAGATTGACTCACCTGCGATAGCAAAATCTTTGCTTTGCATCATTGTGATGTTTGTCACTGGGTTTGTTGCAATGCATATGTATTTCCCTGTATGCCCTCTAGTTGCAGTGAAATTGATTACAGATCCATTCATATAGGGTGTGGTTTGATTATCTAAGAACCAGTGGAAGTCACACTCAGGCTGTGAATCAGCAGAGCATATCAGAGACACAGATGCGCCATCTTTTGCTGTGTCTGGACCAGAGATTGTCACATTCAAAGGACCATCTGCAAACAACAAGAAGAAGTCCGTCAGAGTTATGTACTGTTGATTGATATTGTGATTTAGTTTTTTACATGAAAATTCCCAAATAATCCAGAATGTGCACTTTTTGAAAACTAAAATAAACACTTTAAAAAAACATAGGTATGCTGTATATATTTTATGAAGGTAAAACAGATAGCACTTAAAGCAGATTGGCTGCAGATATAAGGGTCAGAATTTAATGTAAATTACATTAATCCATCCTCCTTTGTACTAATGATTTAGGATGTCACTTGGCAAAATTTGCTCAGTAGTATTGGAATGTAATTTAAATCTGCCAGCTTTCTTACATATTATTGCTGACTATTTCCATCCATTTATGAGAGAAGTTTACCAATCCGCTGTGGCTGCTTTCAACAAAGTGATCCACAATGAAAAAACAAAAAAACAAAACAGCTGGTGCTGAACCTGACACAAGGTTTAATGTAGCCTACTCCCATAGGCTCCACAATCACATTTTTCTGAATCTACTAAAGCTTCTTTAGGGTTTTGTAGAACATTAGATTTGGATCATAAACATGCATCCCACTATTTGAGAGTAACTGAATAATACTAGGGTTTCTAGCACCTTTTTAACATAATTCAATCAGTTCTAAAGCTAAAAAGGGTGCACATTTTGTAAAGTAAAGAAATACCTAAAATGGACTTTTAAATGTAGTAGTAAATGGTAACCTTTGCCAAGTTAAATTTACTTAAGTTTATTTTTGAAAGGCAAAATGCATTTCTACAAGTATTTGTTAACTGCATCATACTTTTATCTTAACTTCTTTTTTTATAGTGTATTTTGTAAGAAATTAACCCTACTGTTAGTTGACAAGCATTGCTCTCTACTCTACCCCCCTTCAGTTAATTAAAAATTAAGAATGTTTTAACTAAAGATGCAGAGGACACATACGAATCTGAGGAAACTTTCTACTTTAGAATCAAGCCTTCCTATTATTTTTGCTATTTTCTTTTTACTGAACATTTCTTTGCCATTTAGTGGTTGAGTGATCCTACTGTTGTAGCATGTTGTGTAAGTGTTCATTATAAAAGTTTTATGCAGTGGAAAATTGATATTTAGACATGTGCGTTTCTTCTCCCCAAATTTATTTTTTAATGTTGTGATTTATTTAATTATCTGTACATTATGTGTAGTTGGTATTAATATAAGTACTAGATCCTACATATCAGAAGGATTGCCCAATAAAAAAGTAATAATCTGATTGAACACTCCTAGTCAAGTTCACAGATTCTTAATATGTTCTCTACTTTTAATTGAGTAATGTTTAACCCTTACATGAATAAAATATATTGAAGGCAGTCTTCTCAATTCCCACCCCTGTAAAAGACCCTCTTATTTCTACATTTTTGTAAAATCACTCTTCTTCTGGTACCTACAGTTTACAAGAAGCGTATATGGAGGACTCTTATGATGAGCAGCCCGATTGGTAGCAACACACTGATAGGTCCCATTATTGTCTATTGCCAATGGGGTGAAATGCAGCATGTTGTCAACTGTGTACATGGATGAGTCTGTGTCAGAGACATTCATGTCGAGTTTCATATCATCTTTCATCCAGTAGATGGTGTCATAGGGCCCAACAATGTGACACGTGAGGGTAAAGTTTTCATTGTTTATAGGAGTTGTGTTGCTTTGGATCATCACTGACTCTATTGCCTCTATAAACAAAAGACAAGGTTAAAAGGTAGGATTGATATGTGGCACAAACAAGGATATTTTGTCAAATAAAACTAATGATTTTTAAAATGTCTATTTCTAATTTTTAAAACTTCAATGCAAGATTTATTACCTATGACTGTGAGCATGATAGAGTTGGTGCTGTTCTTTCCTGTCGCTTGATTGTGGGCCATACACGTGTATTTGCCACTCATGTTATAAAACAGAGGCCCAGCTGTGAACTCTGAAGTATTGGCAGCAAATGAACCATTGAACCACCATGTATATGTACTAGGAGGCATCGATGTGGCAGAGCAGTTAAAGACAACATCACGTCCTTTTTCTCCAAATTCTGACCCATAAATAACAGGTCTATCTGGTCCAACTGCAAAACATCAGCAAGTTCAGTTGTACTTTTTTTCCCCCTCCCAGCATGTCAAAATAGCAAAGATTTAATTCTAGAATTTGATATTTACATACACTGTAAAAAAAACTCCAACCTTTTTATAACTGACAATAAAGCAATACTATATTTTTGTAATCTAAAAGTAAAAACCATTCCCTCTCATTATTCTGACATTTAGAAAATACATTTATTTATAATAATAATTTTTTTTATTCCTTATTGACCTGAAAAGAAATAAGGTTTATACACTGCCACATAGTAAGGAAGAAGCATTATATGTTTTTTTAAACAGTGTATGTAAACATCTGGTTTCAACTGTCTTTTAATTTCAATTATGTAGAACAGAAAAAAAAACAAACATTTTAAACTCTTTATCTTGTGAATTATAAAATGTTTACACTTACAATTGACAGAAAGCATGTAAGCTGTGCTGGTCATGTTTCCAAAACTATTGATGGCCATACATTGGTAGTGTCCGGCATCATGACGATCCAATGGCTTGAACATGATTGTCTTGTTGTCCATAGAGAAAACAATGCTGTTGTCTGGATGAAGCTTTTCACCGTTTTTCATCCAGTAAATATGACCAACAGTTCCAGTTACATCACATATCATTTCATATGAATAACCTTCCAAAGCCCAGGAATTTGATGTGTCTATTGTAACATTTTCAATTGGATCTGAAAAGGAAGCAGGACACACAATAGTTAAAGACTTTTCTTCCCATTTGGTTAATGATGCCAGTCAAGCATATTTTACATCAACATAAAAACCACCATCAGAGCTGTCTCACCAATAACAGTAAGCATTGTGCTGGCAGTGCTGTTTTTGCCAGTGATGCTGTTGAAGGCCATACAGATGTACTCCCCGCTCATCTCTACTGTGAGAGCAGGTGTCATATACTCAGACATGTTGGAAACTAGAGAATCATTAAAGAACCACTTGAAGGAACTTGGTGGAACAGATTTTGCCCAGCATGTGAGGGTAACACTGTCTTCTGCCTGTGCCTCTCTTGGTCCCATGATGGTTGGCATCTCTGGTCCATCTGAAAACATTGCAACAAAATTAAGCAAAAATGCTTTGACAACTTAAAAATAACTCAGTTCATAGCACAAAAAAACACAAAAATATATATATATATATACTTACAGTTGACAATGAGCATCATAGGACTGCTGGTCATATTCCCTAGTGCATTAATAGCCATACACTGGTAGTGCCCAGTATCATTTCGTTGGATGTTCATGAACCTTACAGTCATGTTGTCCATTAGAAACAGGGTTCTATTGTCTGGATACATTTTTTCTTTATTTTTCATCCAGTAGATATTGTCAACAGTTCCATTTACACTGCAGGTTAAATCATGTGGATGACCTTCAACTGGATGATTCATATGATCTTCTACTTGAACATTTGTTATTGGATCTAAAAAGAAACATGGAAAACATATAAAGTTAGAAAAGTTCTTATGGGTTTGTGAGAGAAAAAAGAAGTCCAAACAATACGAGTCTCACCAATAACAGTAAGCATTGTGCTAGCAGTACTGTTTTTGCCAGTGATGCTGTTGAAGGCCATACAGATGTACTCCCCGCTCATCTCTGCTGTGAGAGCAGGTGTCATGTACTCAGACATGTTGGAAACCAGAGAATCATTAAAGAACCACTTGAAGGAACTTGGTGGGACAGATTTTGCCCAGCATGTGAGGGTAACACTGTCTTCTGTCGGTGCCACTCTTGGCGCCATGATGGTTGGCATCTCTGGTCCATCTGAAAACATTGCAAAAAAATGTAACAAACATGGTTTAAAAAATTTAAATGATTCATAGTTCATAGCATTAAAAAAAAGAATATACTTACAGTTGACAATGAGCATCATAGGACTGCTGGTCATGTTCCCTAGTGCATTAATAGCCATACACTGGTAGTGCCCAGTATCATTTCGTTGGATGTTCATGAACCTTACAGTCATGTTATCCATTAGAAACAGGGTTCTATTGTCTGGATACATTTTTTCGTTATTTTTCATCCAGTAGATATGGTCAACAGTTCCATTTACACTGCAGGTTAAATCATATGGATGACCTTCAACTGGATGATTCATACGATCTTCTACTTGAACATTTGTTATTGGATCTAAAAAGAAACATGGAAAACATCTAAAGTTAGAAAAGTTCTTATGGGTTTGTGAGAGAAAAAAGAAGTCCAAACAATACGAGTCTCACCAATAACAGTAAGCATTGTGCTAGCAGTACTGTTTTTGCCAGTGATGCTGTTGAAGGCCATACAGATGTACTCCCCGCTCATCTCTGCTGTGAGAGCAGGTGTCATGTACTCAGACATGTTGGAAACCAGAGAATCATTAAAGAACCACTTGAAGGAACTTGGTGGGACAGATTCTGCCCAGCATGTGAGGGTAACACTGTCTTCTGTCGGTGCCACTCTTGGCGCCATGATGGTTGGCATCTCTGGTCCATCTAAAAAACATTGATTAAATACAAAATATGAATTCCCTTCAATAACTGTTTTTTTTTATGCTTTATAATATGAGATGTTGAAGCTTAAAATGGAAAACACATCCTTTTAACATTATAAAAAATTATTTATCTAAATCTTCTAATCTGTATTTACTCATAATAAGACCATAGTTACTCTTTTCTTATACCGGTAATCTAAACTGCTTTCTATACATATTTTCAGTACAAAGTTTGGCTGTTTTTGCTTTTTAATTACACAGAAAACCTTTCAGTTCATCAAACTAATTTCAATTTCTGATAAAGACCTGAATAATGTAAAAGATTTCAAATGTTTTTCTTCAAAGGGGGAAAAAAACTAAATCAGCCTGGTCTGATATGAAATAGTAATTGATCCCTAATAAACCTAATAAACCTAATAAAACCTAATAACAGGTTATGCCAGCAGTACAGTTGAAAAACAGTTATCATTGCAGAGGTGTTTAATTGAGTCCAGCGGCTGTTTTTTAATGGTGAAGCTCATGGTAAAGTATCCCAACAATAATTAACCCCTGACTTTGACTAGACAACTTCAAAACTTTGTTTTTGAGACACTTTTATGGAAACTTTTTGTCCTCAGCTATTGTACCCTGCATAAACTGATTGGGTTTGATATTAAGGTCACAAACATTTCTTCCATTTTCTAAAGAGGAAATGTTCTCTCACTACCAAGTTTTTATACTTTTTCTGTAATCTTCTGTAATTTTTTTACTATGTCAACCCACACAGTATTTTGTAAAAAGTCCAAAGGGTCATACAGATACAATTTTTGGCAAATATTAATTAACCGATAAATTAATTCATTAATATATACTACCCTATGTGCCATTTTTTGACCAGTTGTCATGATCTTGGCACTGATGACTGGCTTAATTCCTTCCATTCACCTGGCTAACTCTGCCCGGTTGCCCATAACCTCTCATCTGATCCACCTGCTCCTGCCTCTATTTAAGCTGCTTGCATCCAGTCATCAGTGCCAGATTATTCTTGTTCTCTCTAGCGAATCGTGAGAGTGTTTTTAGTGAGTACCTTAGTGTTTCTGATTTCCTGATCCTGACCTGCTCTGCCTCTCAACCACCGAGCCTACCTGTGCCCATCTGATCTCATTGGTGAGAGTGTTTGTTGCTTACCTGAGTGTTTCTGATTACCTTATCCTGACCTGTTCTGCCTCTCAACCACTGAGCCTGCCTGTTCCCGTCTGAACGGTTTGCCTAAAATATCTTTGGACTCCTGGACCTCTGAGCCTGTCTGTTCCTGTTCTAATCTCTTGCCTGACCTGACTTCGGACCCTTGCATGTTATTCTCATCTGGGACATTCTGAGCGGTGCCAGCTGTATCTTGTTGGCAGCCCACCGGCTGGATCCTATCTTGTTTTCTGGGCAAGAACTAAACGGTTAAACCAGGTTAGTGACTCACATGGATAATCATCCTCCGTCAGATTATCATGGTCACTGAACTGTTTTTCTCTCCTGCAGAGTTTCCTGTGATAGATGCCCTAGCCGCTGTTACTCTGATCCACTGGTTTCAAATAATGCTTTTTGAATAATCCCACTGTCTCTCACCTTGAATACTGGGCCCTGTGTTCTGAATCGTTACACCAGTCTCTTTGTTATTGTTACATCATGGATTGTAACCTAAACTGTGGCACAAAGTTCTTTAGATTATGTTCTGAGTTTGTTTATAAACTCCTAGATGTCTATGTGCTCCACTGCCAAAAGAAGAGGTTCCCTAGGATCCCAAACATCTGCAAATTTGTTTGGTTAAATTTCCACACTGAGGGAGGTCAGGTCAGAGGTCTTTAGAGCAGGATGAAATCTGCTGCCTTTTGAGATCTTTATAGATACATAATATTGACAGCTTGATTTGAAAAGCTATTGAAAACGTAACTTTTTTTTACCTTCGTCTGTTATATATATTTTTTTGATTATCTGAATAATTTCAGATTGACAAAAAGCAAAGAACAGAACACTAGTTGGAAAAGGCACCTTTACATACAACTGTATATTTTCCTTCTAAGCAATAAGGACTAAACATGTGGTTCTTACAGTTGACTTTAACTTCAAAGGGGCTGCTTGTCATATTGCTCACGTCGTTAAAAACATGACAATCATAAACTCCACCATCCGAATGTTGAACTGGATTGAGAATCAGAGTGCTGTTGTCCATTTCAAAGACAGTTCTATTGTCAGGAACAAGTGGACGTCCATCTTTCCACCACTGAATGCTACCAATAGGTCCTGTGACTTCGCACTGCAGAGAATACATCATGTCCAGTATGGCAGGGCCTCTGCTGTGATTCAAGGTAACCCCTGTCAAAGGATCTGTAAGAGAGGATATAAAGAGATGTCTTTAATAAAGACGTGTAAATCAAGAGACAGAGTGCCGCACCTTCCTAGAGACTCTTGTCTTTGTTTTCCTCACAAAATTTAAAACAGCAGAAACACTAAGTTTAAGTTTTATCCCTTTTTTCACTTTAAAGCATAACACAAGAATCCAAAGAATATAATTTTCTGTAAGTCCTGACCACATATGGTCGACTGAAAGTGCGCAGGTGTAATGTTACAATTTACAATCAAGCAAGTCAAATGAAATCACTGAGTAAATATGATAATGTTATTAAAAACTGTAGCAGCAGGTGCTTGTTAGAAAAGGTTTTTGGAAATAGTTTTTTTTAGCCAATGATAGCAGCTTTCACACTGTAGTTAATCTGCATTAAAACTGCAAGTTGAAGCTACCCCGCACATTAACATTTGGGATAAAAGATCTTTGCATTTTAACAGAAGTACAATACAACGTTAAAGAGCATTAAATTAATGAAATGCAGAGTATGTTTCACTGGATAAATATAATATTGATTTCAGGAAAGTGTTAAACAAATATTTAATGACAATGTCCGATTTAATTAGGTCATTATCAGGTAAATAAATATATTGTTGGGCCATCCAATATGTAAAAAATAAAACAAAATTATATCATGTCACAAATGCTGTAACATGTAACATTTGATGCCCTTACATTATTTGCCCACTCAGTTTACAAGACAGGGCTTCCCCCTTCATAGAGACAGGCTGATAACTAGCAGCTGACCAAGTTTAGTAAGTGTCACAAGGTTGAGAGCATGCTGAATAAGGTACATTTTAGCAACAAGCCATTAAAAAACAGTGAAAATGTAAATTTTTTGAAAATTTTAAGAGTTAAAAAAACAAACAAATTTGTAAATGTGGGGACAGCTAAAGCTCCCACATGTCCAGGTCTTAGTGTGCATAGCCGAACAGACTATGAATGCATTGTCTGCAGAGGTTTTTGCTTAGTTGAGCTTACCAGTTCCCTAAAGTCCTTTCACAAATTCCTATATTTCACCCACTTTCTGTCAGTGGGATTAAGAATGGAAAGGAATTATAGCAAGTATGATGAGGTAGTTGAGTCTCTTTTCATAAATGTATACCAGACACCTTCTGTACAACAATGCAGTAGAGAGTGGCTATGCAGCTGCACCCCGCCTGACTGGCGTCTCAATGTATCAGCTCTATTCTATTAAATTGATTTTTATCCTTGAATGCAAATTGTGTACATATAACACAACATGCGTGTGGAAAAAAGGAAAGGCTGGGAACATTTTCTGGATGCACTCCAAGAATTCATTCATATATCGCTAAAGATATCAACATTGCAACATTAATCAATATTATCACACATCTCACGTTTTCCTGATATCATACAGGTCTATTCTAGAAACATCCTTTGTAAAATGCATTATAACCAAACAGCGTTATGACAAGGTGTCAGCAAACACTGGTTTAGTTTTAAGTGCACCTGGAGAAAGTATACTGCAACACTTTGCACGACAGACAGAAACAGGTTAACCTAAAGCATCAAAAATGTAAACAAACAACTGCTGACTAAACGTGTGGTAAATCCAGTACAATGCAGGCCAGAGAGTTCGGACGAATGTACAGAATAAACAAAACTGATGTCCCATCACACAATAGCAAGCTCTGCGGGTCATGAATCAGCTCTTCACCTTCCATTCCATATTTAACAACTGAGAATAAGTGAAATGGCTCAAAGAATCTAAAAGTAATTTGTTTGAGTAATTTTTTCCACTATGTCTCATCAGCCTGAAATTCTCAAGTAATTTTTTGCTTCTAAAATACCTACTTGCACGACCAAAGATAATAAGCATCAAGTTCATATTTCATAGCACAAGTTTGTATGAATAAAAGGAGGAACTCTTTTATAGTTAGTTTCAGTTTCCAAAAAGATGACACAACCTGCTTCTAGATCTCAGCATGTGTTGCTGATATGAGCCAAATAAGAAAAGAGAGAAAACCTACCCATCACTTGGATCTTTGAGCTATTGCTGCTGAACCTCATTGTGACTGGGTTGTGAAAGACGCATTTGTAAGTTCCTGAGTGGCTTTCTTGAACATTCTGTAGGTCCAGCTGTGATCCAGACTGATTAAGGTGCATTTCATTAAACATCCACTGGATCTTTGCTGTAGGTTTTGAATCAGTTGAGCAGGACAGTGTGATGTTAGATCCAGATCTATAGACGTTTTTCATTGGTGTCACTGTCATGGTTGTATTACTTGGACCATCTGAAAGGTAAGACAAAAAAAAAAGTTAATGTCAGTGTTGCACTTGTTGAAACAAGATCGCCTATATATTATTATTTTTTCCAAAACTTACAGCTGATGTTTAGATTCAAAGGGGGGCTGAGTTCATACCCCAGTCCGTTTGACACATTGCACCTGTAGGGACCCTGATCAAAGCGGGTCAGGCCAGCTATGCTAATGGTTGCATTTCCATCGCTAAGCTGCACATCTGCCCCATTTGATATCGTAGAGTTTCCAACCAACCATTCATAGGACAAAGATGTGCCATTGGATACTGAACACATGAGGACTGCTGTGCTATTGAACTCCACCAGATCTGTTGCTTTTGCTGATAAACCCAAACCTGAAATTGGCACTGTAAAGAAAGACAAAAGGTTTTTCACAATTGAATTAACATTTTTGCTTCACTCTCTGAGCTAAGGCTCATATCTTATGACATTATTGGAAATCAAACACATTTAGTTCTGATATCAGCCTAAATATATTAACTAGTCCTCATCTGTGATATACAGTATGTTTAAAACATATGCAATTATTGTGCAGTTCTTGGAGATGGTCAGCCAGCTATTAATTTATTGGATAATTCCCCCCAAAAAACAAAAAACAATCAACGGGACTTTGATTTCAAGTTTAAAGATGTTTCACTTCCAACCTAGGAAGCTTTTTTCACTTCCAAATGTCAGAAATAGCACTCTATAAAGCCTCGGACTGAACACTAATTCTGACATTTTAAATCTAAACAGCTTCCTGGATGGGAAGTGAAATGTCTTCAAACTTGAAAATAAAGTCTAGTGGTTGGTTTTTTAAAAACTTTTTTGGAATGAGTTTAGCTAATTTTGGTGCGTAGTTATTTTTGTTTTTGTTTATGCTCTAAAAATGTAAAAAGAAAAATGAGGAAGATGACAAGCATCTCTTTGAAAGAAATCATAATTTGTTTCTTAGGTTAAACAAATTCTTTGTGTGCCATTCTGGTGTTTATAATATTTTAATCATGACTGCATCTCAATGTACCCAAGGTATAGTCCTTTTAAGGATTTCATGAAAAGATATAAAAAAAAAATAGATAAACTTTCCTGATAATACTTGTTATCATAGGTTAATTTATTTATTTTAGAAAAGAACTGTATTTTTTCAAAAATTTCATTTGAGATCTTTTAAAAAGGTCCCAATACCTGTCAGTCATTGTGTTTGGTGGTAAATTAAAGCTAATCTATTATCTAATTTTGAATCATACCTCGCAATCAACTGGTTTTACTTAGATAGAAAACTTTGAACCAATTTGACTGTATGATCTGGTTGAATTGTCTCTATAAAGTGTCTTGAGATGACATATGTTGTGAATTGGCGCTATATAAATAAACTGAATTTAATTGAAGTAATATCACATCATGTTCTCTAATGAGAAAAAAACCCAGTCTTTTCATATGCTAACTACACACAGTAAATAAAATAACTGGAAAAGCACATCTGAACAACTATGTTTTCCTTTTAACCATCTATACTTTAAAAAGATAAAGGTTGATAATTTCACCTTAAAAAAATAACCTCAACATCCTCCGTTTTTAAATCATTCATTATAAATCTTCAACTCTTTAACTTATTTTTTGCCGTTGAAGGGGTTAAAACAACCAATCTGGAGTTTGAGTAGTAAAAAATACAGTTTTGATCATTTACATTTAGAAAATCATTTGTTTTAATGCTTTGGATTTGTCATTCACTGTTCTCAGATATTAAAAGTAAGATTGATATACAAACCCAGGAAATGTATTTGGTTTTTTCGTTATTAGTTTGCCTTGCAAATCACTTCTGTGCAAATCACTAAAATTAGAAAGCTATCCATTTAATGTTTTAGCATCAATGACATAACATTGTGAAGTGCAAAGAAAGACTTTATTATGCCCAGTGTTACATATTACTGAGTAAATATGAATCGTGAGTGTTCTTACCTTGGACTGACAGCTCTATCTGAAAAGAAAACCCATTTATTTGTTCTATTGTATATAATCCGGAGTCCTCTTGTCTCACTGATTGTAAAGTCAGCGACGACGTGTTGGAAATAAATATAATTCTGTCACTCTTCTCCTTGTTTATCATATAACCTCCAGGGTAAATTAACACCAGTAGGGTTCCATGGAACATCCAGGCCCCCAAGGTAACTTCAGCATCACTGCTGATTGTCACATTTGCGCCCACTGGTACAGGATTCATAGAGACATGTATGCTTTGGCTTTGCACAAGATCTAGAAACAGACAACAAAAAACTTATACACATATCCAAAGAGAAAAGAATAAGAAAAACTTAAATGTAGTCAAGATCGCTAAAATTGTCCATACTTTTAGATTTAGTCTTTTTGTATAGATTTATGACATAAAGATACTTAAACAGATATTTATTTCTACAGAATATCGACACAAATATAAAGTTATATAGAGCTGAGTGGAATACTTGCATATGAAGTCAAGTTAAAACATATTTCAAATTTACCTGTCAAAGTTAGTGTGGTCAGGATTAGGAAGAACCCCCATTGGGATCCCATGCTGCTTTTTAAGATCGCCTTTGCCAAAGAGAACAGACTGCACTTTTGATTTAATAAATTCAAACCTAGCAATACTAATTTTTTCCAGCACGTTGACAAGCAAATACTTGCTGTGTGCTCTCTTGATGCTTTCCTGGTCTTCTAATGCTGTGCCACATCACAGCTGCTGCCACACCTTGTTTTGCCCTGATGCGGTTTTTATAGACGTGTCCATTTACTGTAAACTCTTGTTCGTCATTTTTCAACTTTCAATCAACCAAAGCCTCACATGGAATTATTTTGTGGGATCACGTTGAGCCATTCACTTAAAAAAATGGGAAGTGGTGCCCCTAAAACTTATCCAAGTACCCCCGCTGAATACTTCTAAACCTTTGTGATGAATGCAGAGGGCTAAAACTGGAAACATAAACTTGATTTGGATTGCATTTAATAAAGTTTAAAGTAAATATTGTTTTATATTAAGCTATGACTTATAGAAAGCATTTCAGATATTCAGGTAAAAAATTAAGTTAAGGTAGTATTCCAAATGTGAGGAGGATTGGTTAGAGGTCACCAGACGGTTGTTATGCCTCAATGGACACGTTCTTCCTCCTGTTCTGTTTACTATAAGCACAAACCCACACTGTGATATAATATTTATACTTCTACTCCTCCTTCAATTAAACATTTCCCAAGAACAATGAAGGGGAATATATTATTTTCCCTTCGGAAAGGCAACGCCAATTTTATTCATACAGCACATTTCCCTATCAAAACTACTCAAAGTCCTGTACATGAAGGAAAACATAACAGAGAAACCTATATTGCACTAGCAAAGAAAAAATATGATTATACTGTATGGAATGATTTAATGAAAACAAATAATAAAATGTGCAAGGTAAGGCTAGTTTACTTATTAATGTAAACTAACAAAGACACCGATAGCGTGTCATCTGCCTTCAAATATTGTTTAAAGGTTATAAGTTTAAAAATAAGGCGTATTTCATGTTTCTGTTTGTGGGTCCATTTTACCAGATGGTGCCATTAATGACAAATATATATTAACATGTATATGTTTTAAAAAAGCTCTTAAGGAACCTTTTAAACAACGTGAATTCCACTTACAAGAAAAAAAAAAAAAAAGGAAATAATCAGAAGGAGATATCTTATTAAATGTTTTAACATATTTTTTGTGAACCCAACGTTTGTGAAAGATAACAAAAAAAATTTAAATGAGTTATACAAATGATCTGTTTATTTAGTAAAAAGATGAACATAAAAGGGTGGACCTTGAGCATGACTGGATGTACTCACGATATATTAATCTTTGGCCTCATGAGCACAATTAATCTAAATTTCATTATGTTAATACAAAATGGGTTCCTTTTTCTGAATAGGGGAATATTAGCAGTTGAAAAGAATGATTTTCATCCATTTGACCTGAATATAAATCACTAGGCAAAGCAATTAACTGCAGAACAAGAAAATAAAATTAGTAATTGTCATGATCGGTTCTCTAATGGAGACCCAAAGATGCAGAACACCACTGACGGACACAGGATGAAAGGTTTAACAAGTTTATTTGCACAATCACACTGAATATGCTGAAGACTGGTTCGGGCCTGGATTCTGGTTTCACCGGAGTCTGCGTGAGGGACAGCTCAGTTAAGGACTGTTGATGGGGTTAGTTTTCCAATGGTGCACAGATAGTACCTTGAGGGTTCTTGAGGTTCTCTTTGGGAGAGTCACTGTTGGTCCTGGAGAAGGATTTAGTAGCAGAGTCCGTTAGCTGCTTCAGCGTCTCACGTCTAGCTTGAGCAGACCTTGGCCTTGGTTTCCCAGCTCTAGCCCGGAGCTGCTTGGAGGTTGACTGAGAATCCTCAGGGTTTGGCTCTGAGGGTCGGCTCGGCAGGTTAGCTCTTCCAGAGCTTACACGGAGGAAGCACGAGTTTCCTAGAGGCACAGAAACAGAGGTTAGAATCCAACTAGGAATTAGCGTCAAGGAAAATCACTGAGATCAAGGCTTCAGCGCTGACCAACTGGAACAACACTGCGGCGTTGAGGCAAGATCTGAAGACAGCTTATGTAGTGGATCCTCTGATGATCTTGATGAGCTGCACCTGTGCAGGAGGCTCCCTCAGAGGATCCACGGCGGACTCTGCTGGAGAAAGATGGGATTTTCTCCAGCTCCCAACAGTAATTTGTTAAAAATATTTTTGGAATAGTTACTGTATTTTCACCCTTGTGCTAATGAAGCATTTACTTTTGCCAAACTACCTGTTTTTTATCTGTCTGATTGTTCTGGCTAATAACTGAATTTAGATGCCAAAATTAACTTACTCTGTGGCGTAGTAAGTAAGGTTTTCTTTTCTAAAATCCTTCAGCATCTTTTGAAATATAAAGACAAATGTAGAGATAATAGATATGTAAGTTACAGTTACATTTTTAAGTATGAATCTACCAGCTTTGTTTGAACTAACAATGAGTTTCTGACTTCACCCAAAGCCATGGTACTCTTCACAAGCAAAGAGGAGAAAGCCTGATAATTTTGTCAGTTAATAGCATTGAGTGATTGATTGTGTTTATTGATCTCACAGAGGAGAAATCACAGGTTAAATAGTCAAAGAGAAAGAAGGTGCCAAAGGAAGAAAAGGGTGCATGGTATATATAGTGTTTCCACATATGAGAGCATTTGACATATGGGGCATTAATATGTTGTATGTAAAGGAAAAGTTGTGAATAACTGAAGTAGAATGAAGACACATTTTTTTTATGTTTTTTTATTAGATATTGTTTACCTTAGCCCACAGTAGAAATGCTTACGGTAACTGCCCTTCCTTTGTCTTCCTGATTCCCTTTCTTGCCTGATTTTATCTAACAAATATCGAATACAGTGTCTTTAACTTATTGTAACAATAACTGCACATAATTCAGATTGCTATTTGCTGAAAAGAAAACATATATGTAGCTATTTCCATCCCCCAGACATCATGGTCTTTGTGCAGGTCTTTCAAATTAAACCTTTAAAAATACATTATACAGGCACTAGGTAGGGGCACGTGGGTAGGGAGTGTGACCCATGTACGCCCTGCACCACACTGCAGATGCACGGTTCCTCAACGTAGCCGTCCATGCTGTGAATCTAAACATGCAGATCTTTGCTGTGTGTCTGCCACTTTTTCCACCTCACTTCCTTTCAGAGGACTTTTAGAAAATAAAGGCCATGGGAGTTAAAAAATAAAATAAGTGAAACAAACAAAAATACAAAAGGTAAAACTTTATTAAATTAGCCAAGCACTGGTAATGGGAAGCTGCTGTGTGCAAACATGCTGCTGCTTTCTATTAAGATGGAGAAAGAGGAGAATTATATTTAATTCTGTCTTTAAACTGAGATCAGGGTTACAGCACTTTTAATGTCTTAGTTTTTCTTTCTCAGATGTCTTACTGTTGTTGAAAACAATCATATTTTCTTTGAGGCAGAAAAACAGAACATGACACAAACTGTCTGAATTAAAAATGCTTTATTTATATTAGCCAAAGAGAGAGACAGAAAATAAACTGCCAAGCCATAACCCTTACTTTAGCTGATTGGAGCTGATTGTACATACTCCACTTTAACATACATTATTCCTAAATGTTGAATTTAACCAGAAGAAAGCTTCTTTAGTCACATCTAAATGAAATATAAGGCAATTAGTGAGTAACTTAAAAGGAATATATGATTTTAATCTTTGATTGTATAACCTAGAAAACTAAAAAAATCCCGAAATTATCAGAATTTGCAACAATTTCTTGCATAATGCAGAATAAATGTATTAATAATCTGAGATATAAATTCCCTTTAGTAATATTTTTTAAAACATTTTTAACATATGTTCCTTTGGAAAATGTACCAAAACAAAAATTATTGTTGCCTTTTTATTCTGATTAATGCTAAATTCATTACATCACCGCAAAGTTTAGTACTGGTTCAGATAATGATCCATTGATTATTCCTTGCTGATTGGACTTTTCTTTTAAAATACGTATTTACAAATCCTCCATCTCCTGACAGTGGTTCATGTTATTTGATAGCATTGAATTCATCCTGGGACTGAAACATCCTCATTGATCTGTAAAAAAAAGAAAAAAAGAAAGGGAAGTTCAATGACTTATTATATTAGTAATAACACATTAATAGAATTTGTTTCTATTTTAATTACATAAGTAACTTGAATTTGGGTAAAAATTCAAGCCCACACAAAGAAAAAAGGTTATTCATTTAACTGGACTGTACAGTATTTAGTAACTGCATAACCTGATTAAAATGGCACATCTCAGTGTATGTATAAGGTTTTAGATGAAAGCATTCCTTTTAAGTATGCAGATGTGGGGGTAAAAAGACAACATATGAAAACGGCAAAGGAAAAACATGTTGGGGTGAATATCAATTCATCTATTATTACGTTTTCAAAAGGTTTTGAATAAAAAAAAATTGGTAACTTGCCTGCAAGTGATAAAGAGAATCCAGTCAAGATCAGCAAAGAAAAAATAAATATATTCACTTCCAGCTGTTCAGACTCTGTGCAGAAAAAAAAAATTCATCAGATAAAATAAGTGACATGACACTGATATAGTTTTATGGTTTATACCAAAACAAATAAACAAAGTAAGTATGAGTCTCAATCATGTAGGCACATCTTAGCTCAGTGCTAGTTTATGATATAAAGTAAAGCCCTGATTCCAATAACTCCATTAACCCACATGCTTTGTGCTGAACATTGCCAAATCAGAATAGTGTATGGAAAACAGTCTTGGAAGTGCTGTTGCCTTTAAATGCAGCAGTGTGAAAATGGCTGCTGGCCTTAAAGCATCAGTTGCAATTTAGATACTGCTTGAAAATTTGAAAGTAAAAATAGAAAAACAATACAATAATTTGTTTAAGTTAACCATCCTCTCTTTTGGATAAGCAAGCTGTGAAAAAGTGATTTTGTCTCTATGAAGAGGCTTACTTGATATTGTAATGTAGGTTGTTACATTGCTGCGCAGGTTGGTGCGGTTGTTGAAGGCCAGGCAGGAATATGGACCGCTCTGGTCCTCTCTGACATGAGAAAGCCTCAACATTGTTCCTGTTACATTCACAATGTTCCCCTTGAAGGCCCACTGAAGATAAGCTGGAGGACTGGACTCTGTTAAACAGAGTAGGCTCAGATTTGACCCAACTGAGAAGGAAGTGTTGTTCAGTCCATTCACAATGACACGCATGTTATCTGGGCCATCTGAGGAAGTGATAAAGAAAAGAGAGGAATAAATCAAAACCTTTGGGTGGAAGGTGATTGTCTCACCGAGAATGACGTCAATGAAGATAAGGTAACTTACAGCTTACTGTGAAGTTTACTGAATCACTGCTCCCATTACTGATAGGATTAGATACATCACATCGAAATGGTCCTGAATCATAGCGGCTCACGCTGACAATGTTGAGAGTGGAGTTTCCATCGCTGAGCTGAACTCTGTCAGAGGCTGTAATTTCAGAGCTGCCATTCATCCAAAGGAATGACAGAGAAGATCCAGTCGAGACGGAGCAGTTAATCAGCCCTGAGGTTTGGCGCTCTATCAGATCACTTCCATTTATGTTGAGGGTCACATTTGATATGGGCTCTATGGATATGACAGGGAGGAAATGTCCAAAAATGTTCTAAATTAGATTCTTAATCACTGTTGATGTAGCAGCGTATTAAGGCTTTCTTGACAATTACTTTCTCTCACTGTTAGAAAAAGAAAAAGTAAAAGAAGCTGAATCATCCTAAAGGTCAGTTGTCAGTCTAACTAATGTGATAGTCAGAGTATTTTTTTAATAATTTCTTTTATTATTATTTTTATTTATTTATTTTACAGTTGGAGTATTTTATTTAATACAACTCTGTATAAATGCTGATTGTCTTGTTAATTTCGATAAAGATTCAGTCTATGACTCATTTTTGTTCTGAAATGACTCAGACTGGTATCTGGGATGAACAATGTTGGCCAAGATATTCCACTTGTTTTTTTTTTTTTGTTTTTTTTTTTTTACAGTATTTAAAAATTTTATAAGTTAAGCTAGTCAGTAACATTTTCATCAATTCCCAACAGAAGACCTAAAATATCAATTAACTATTTGAAAAAAATGTCTATTTATATTTTTGTTTAGGAACCTTTTTATCTACCTGCCTGCCTGACCATAGGAGATTATGGACATGAAGCTATTTTTAACTGTCTAAAAATATATGTAGACTGTACTTTGAATAAAAATATGTGTTCCATACAAGCACAGATTGTCTTTTGCATGCTTAAAAATTAAGTCTTTAAAAATGATTATTTTTAGCACTTCCTTACCGGTTTCTAGGAAACTAAATGTTCAAATACTGTAAGCTGCTTATATCAAAGGAAAAAGGTGAATGTTGACACAGAAACCAACCAGAGGACAAAGTCTCATCATCATGAAACCTGAGCACAAGCTGGTCTATAACAATAGGTAAATATCACGAGGAAGCACTTTGATTTCCTGTAACCCCCTCCCTGTCTGAAACTTTTTGTTGGAAAGATTTTTCATAACAACAGAAACCAGTTCCAATGAAGTATGAAGTGTAAACAGATCATCAGCCCTTTTTTTCCCTTGCCCTTCCTCATAAAGTGGCCCAGTACAAAGTTATGAAAGACTTTTCACTCTTATGTCATTCAAATATAAACATTTAACACTTACTAGTTTTATTGAAAGTATTTAAAAAAAAGGATCAGTGTGTTAAGTTATTCCTGTATATACATACCTACAACAGTGAGAGAAACACTGGCCTTTAGTAGGGGGTCGCCGCTCTGCACTGTGTAGACGCCTGTGTCGCTCACAGTGAGGGAGCTCAGGGTGAGATCTCCACTCGTCACGTTAACCGAAGCCCTGCTGCTGTAACCAGGAAAAACCGCCTGCTGCTGCCCAAGCCAGGTAAGGATGAATTTCTCTCCCACCGCCCAGTTGCCGCTTGTCAAAGTCACAGAGGGAGACAGCGACAGCGTCACTGTGCTTCCAACTACTGCTGGGTTCATAGAAGCTAGAACCTCTGCAGCATCACAGGAAAGAAAACCTACTAAAAAGGAAAATTGATTAATATGCTAAAGAAAAATCTCCCACATTTCTAGATATCACATATCCTTGTTAAATTGGTACCTTGTAAAGATGACAGAAATATAAGTGTCAAGGTGCTGCAGGTCTTCCTCTCCATGTTTTTTCAGTTGTCTGACAAACTGCTTCTAATTTCAGCTTATTTCATCCCTGTCCACTGCCTGTCCAGCCCCCAACCCATAAACCTGCCACCTCAGGTCTTATCTGCAGGTGGCTCTGGGACATTTTCTGTTAATTCTTGACAAATTTACCAAAGGTGGAAGTATTTTTGTTTGCCATTATGGGTGAAGTTCTGTTAAATGACAAATGATGACAGAAGGCATGTTGGTGATAAAGGCCTGTAGGGATGAGGAATACTGTTCACTCAATAGTTGGCCTTGTTCACTTGAAAAATAAAGAAGATGAAGTCACTACTGTTTTCTTGTGTTATGTTTATCTGCATGTCTTTTACATCTTTTACTGCTTGCCTTATTTTCTTTAGGATTTTATTTGAATGACCATATAGTGGGACTGGAAAATTAGCAGCATTCCTTCAACATGATTCTAATGTTTCTGTCATGATCTGCCCTGATAGCGGACCTTAATTGTTCACCTCATTCACCTGCGTAACTCTGCCCGGTTCCTAATAACTCCTTATCCTATCCACCTGTATCAGCTGCTCCATATAAGGCTCAGCCCAGCTATTGGGGCCAGATCATTGTTTGATGTCTGTTGTATTTTTGTTCGGTTAGGTTGAGTTATTTCCAAGGTTCGTGTCCTCGTTCCCGGAGGCCACAGGGATTTTTGTTTTGTTTTGTTTTTCAGCTCAAGCCTGGCATGCAGGAGAATTCTCGCTTTTCTGTTTTAGTCTGCTTTCGGGTCTGTGTCTCCCGCTGTCAGTATCCGTGTTTGTTTTTCGCCTGAGTTGTATGGGAGCCAATGATCTGTGTCTGGTTTTGACCAGCCCTCCCCACCCAGTTTGGTTTATTTAGTTTTTTTCCAAGGTGTTTTAGTCCGGTAGGGCATTGGAAATCCACCCTTGGGGTGGATGAATCACTGGATTCCAGGGGGGGGCAGATCATTGTTTGATGTTTTATATTTGTTTTGTCAGATTTAGTTAGTCCAAAGTTCATGTCCCCATCCCCAGAGGCTAGTGAGTTGAGAGGGTATTTTGTGTTTGTCTTGTCTCCTGATTGTGTCTTGGCTCTTGGAGGAGTCCAGTTTGAAGTCCCATCGTACTCGCTCTTCGGTGGAGACCAGTTTAAAGTTTTGCAGTTATCCTGGTACCTTGTCTTGTGTTTCTCCATCGAACTGAGCCTGCCTGTCTGCATCTGTGTGTGTCTGTATGAGCTCGCTGCACTACTCTTGGAACTCTGAACCCGCCTTCAGGCTCTGTGGATTCCTGAAACCCTGAATATGTCTGTTCTTGTGCGGATCAGAATCCCTGATTGGGCTGCGGACTCCTGGATTCAAGAACTGTTCCTGTCTGATCTGTTTCCCTGACCTGCTCATTGGGGTCCCTGCATCGGAGACACTCTCTGGGAGGCTCTGCACCGCTGCTCGTTTGGCAGTCCATCGGTCAGATCCTGCTTTCATGGACTGAACTATTCAACCAGGTAACCCCCAGATTCCACATACTCCATCAGTGCTCCGCTCTGCCCCGCTGACGTAAGTTGTGCGGAGCGCTTGTCTTTCATGTAAATCGATGTGAGCTGTTCCACATCCACCGCTACTCCTCCGCACGTCTCCGTCCATGTACGTCTTCTCCGTCCTTCACTGACAAAATACGGAGCCGAGCAACTTTTTGCTCCGCTCCGGTCCGGCCAGGTCAAGATCCGCAATTGCAATCGCACCAAACAGGAAAAAGAACATCGAGAAATTCCGGTTCGTCAAATTAAAATATAGTAACAACAGATCGGTGACTAGAAATTATAGCATAATTCTGATTGGATGCAAACTATTGGTTATTCACCAACCAGGAAGCAGATTTCTCATCTCCATCAAAATATTTATTTTATACCGAGGGACTTAAAGTTTAATAAAATCCATTCAAAAGAAACTTCTTATTACAGGAAGGGATGAAGGGATGCTGAGTTTGGGAGTAGAGAACAAACAAAGTTCATTCAAAAAAAGCAGTTTTGAACGCAACACACGCGAATCGAACCAAGACAGTCGAACCGAATGGTTTGGACGGTTTTCATTAACCGTTCCATCCGTGATGTAAACACACACACACACACATATATATATATATATATATATATATATATATATATATATATATATATATATATATATATATATATATATATATATGTAGCAATTAATTTGCGTTGAACTGATCATAAAGTCGTATGTTCGGCTTTATGATATGAATATATATATTCTCTAGCTTTTTATATTCTCTAGCTTTTTCTCCACCTAGAGCTTCCTTTCTGAACATACAGCTTTATGATCAGTTCCACGCAAATTAATCGCGAAATAATATATCTGACGAAATTGTTTTTATTAAAATTTTTACTAAAGAATTATAAATGCCACGATAAACATATTTAATAAATCTTAGTGGCAATTAAGGCCTTAATTAAAAAAAAATTAATGAATTGTAATTATTTTTGTTGATCCGCGGAAACCCTGGTTCATTTCCGCATGTTTTGCTGCTTTGAATTATTTAATCATCTCGTGCATGCCCTCTACGATCTCCAAGGAACTCAGAGCGGAGCGGACGGGAGCCACAGCGGAGGCTGTATGCTTTGCTTTGCGCAGGCGGTCTGGATTGCAGTGGAGCCCTGACGGAGTATTTGGGATTTTGGGGTAAGTGACTCACACAGATAATCGGGGTGGTACCCCGCCTCCTCCCTGCAGCCGCTGCGGTCTGCAGATCGACAACAGCCGCTTGTGTTCCATTGTGTGTTTTGGGCTAATAATCTTTTTGAACTTTCTTACTGACTTTCTCAACTTGAATACTGGGTCCATTTGTCCTGTTTCATGTTAGGAATGTAAGGATTATGCACAGTAACAGTTTTCTTTACACCTAGGTTTTGGCATAGAGGCCAAGATGGATCTAAACCTTCTAACACATTTTCTGTGACCCCTAAATGGCTTCAGTCATTTTTCACAATGGCTTCATATTCATCAATAAACCCATTTTTTTTTAAGTAATTGCTTCATAAGTTTGAAAGTCTTTCACTTCAAATCAGATCCAGCGTGGTTTTGGTATAGTTGACCTATTGGCAGATTCTCTCCCCTGTGCCGTTATTCTATGGGGCTCTGCCAGAGATATCTAGGTTCTTTGAAGTGCTAACTTGATAATTGCCCTCAGTTTTGCCACCTATAACTATAGATAGATGGGCATGCTTTAGATTTTAGTTAATTAATTAAACAGCATGAAATTAGATATTTAAAGCATCTCATATCTTCGCATGCTTTAAAACTTCTACACTTTCTTTCATTTAATTTTCTTTACTAAGGCTGTTTAATTAACCTCTTAGGCTTTCTCTGGAATAATTTTGCTTGATTTGAGATTAAATTACATGGAGTTCATTGCCATTTAGTTAATGAAAGAAATAAAAAATTAAATACCAGGTAATGTTTCTGTCCTGTCCAAAGTGTAACCGACCTGTAAACCACAGAGCACTGGATAACGGTGACGATTCAAGAATTGCTGGATGGACGGATGGATGGATGGATGTTTGTTTTCTTCTATTTAATTGTGCACAATTTATGTTAGATTATTGCATATAATATAAATAAAATAAATATAATGTTGCTGCTGTAAAACAAGTTTAAAATAGAGGTTAAACATACTTAAGTGGGACTTTAGAGTAATAATCTTAAAAGGTCACTAATCTTACATAGGACACTTATATAGCTCTGCAGGTTTGTATGTCAGACTAAAAGCTATTGCTAGTTCATGTTTCATAAGCAAGTTTCATACAGGATAAATGAAACACCCACGTCATCTTGCATTATGATATTTTTTTCTTATTTAGTCTGAATATTTAAATAATAGTATGCCTCATTTTCTAATCTAAGTGAAAAAGAAAAAATGTATTGTCCAGCAATTGGGAAATCTTGGTGCAACTCCAGCAAAGTGACCAGCATTTCAAATAAGGAGATTCACACAGAAGTATAATTTGAAAGTATATGAAAAAGAATAAAAAAATAAAGTACTGCACAGTAAGGGCATGTAATTGTTACTATAAATACTTGTAGTTATTTAAAAAACAACCAAATGTACAACTGGTGGGGGTAATTCAAAAATATCTACCGTAAGTTTATTTGGCAGGGACAGACACACATCGACATAGACTATCTGAACAAAACAGCAGTCCCTTCTTCCCTGAATTAAAATGACAATTTTACAATAAGTGATAGTTAAAGCAGCAACAGCAGAGGTGTTATAGTTACATGTGCTTAAACACTTTTTTAAGCTTGTTGGGAGCAGTGGTGGAAAGTCTTACAGCTGTTGGTTGGAAGGAAGTGATAATGCTCTTTTGTGCATCTAGGATGACGCAGTTTGCCACTGAATGAGCTCTGCAGTAGTTCAGCAACAGCTTCATGAGGTGGGACATTGTTGCATAGGGATGCTAATTTTAGCTGAAGTCCTGCTGTCTCCCACTACCTGCATCATACTGAGAGGGCATCCAAGCAAAGAGAAAATTATAAAATTGAAAAATATGTAAAGTATCAACAATAAAATATCCTATTTATTTTTTTTACAAGGCTATTGTCAGGTTCTGACATCTACCTATGTTTTTTTTTTCCCAGCATCAGGTCTTAAATAGATTATTAAATAGCCTACAATAGCCCTCAGTAAGCAGCTGGGGCTCTATTGTTACTGTGGTGGACCAAAGTTCAGTATCTGATTGAGGTAATGGACATGACCCATGGAAAGACTGATTGATGTCTTAACAATTGGTATAGCATAAAGGTTAGTGTGTTTGCATTATAAAAATGCACAAACTGTTCTTTTAAGTCTTCAAATTCCATTCATCTATTCATTCATTATTTCACGACAATTTGAAGTCTATTTAACCTGATTTTGGATCAGAGGACAGATCTGCCCTGGATAGATAACCACCATGTCCTAAGACACTGAAACAAAATTAGCTCCTCTCACTGTTATGGTTGACTAAAATTTATGTGTGAGGGATTTTAGCTCATTTCTTTGGAAAGAAAACTGAACACCTGCAGAAAACCCATTACACTGGGAGCATATGCAAATTCAGCAAATGCACTCCTGTGCGGTGATGTAAACCACAGTAACACCAGGGCACTCCTTTTTATGTTCAGTCTTTGATTGTCTAAGAGTATAAACACATTCACATGCAATGGTCATCCTTCTTTTGTCATTGCCTTGACCTCTATTTATTTGGTGCAGCCAATCTCTCACAATAACAGAACCCGAGGCTGTTACTGGGACCAGGTTCTAAAAAGTTACAGCTAAAATCCTTTTATACAACATTATCTTGGTTTATAGTTGTGAGGGATTTGCACAAAACCAGCCAGAAAACTGCTTAAATTTTTCAACAAATGATAAGCTGGGCCCAAAAACAGAGGTCAACAAAACAGAATTCAATTCAGGCTTTAACATAAAGAACTCAAGCACAAACTGACATGAGGGAAACTGAAATAGTGGTTGATCAGACCATTGATGACACACAAGGGGGATAAGTGACTAACAAACTAACAAACTTAATTAAACAGATAAATACTGTATGTGCCAGACACTACATACTTTTTAAATCTAACTAATTAACAAAATTACCCAAACTTATAATATTTAAACAAATGATAAACAAATTTCCCTTCCCATTACAAATGGTTTGACCCGCTGATTAGCCTGCAACAACCAACTGAGAAAAGCTGGAGCTCATTGAGGCCTTCCACCAGCAGATCCCACGAAACTGGCAACTCAAAGAAAAAGGAAATTAACCAATTGCATCTTGACAAAAAAAAACAACCTGACAAATAAAGTTAACTAAATGTGTGCACTGCAAAGTCAGTCTAATGAAAATATATTAAATGTGCAACTCATTTTGAAAATTAAAAATGTAAAAGTTACCACTCAGCTTCAGAGTGTGACAGCAGGCTGTCACAATAGTCAAAAGAACAGTTTTTGATTTATTAAAATGAAAATGTTACTTGGCTTTCCTCCTGTGAACATATCAATTCAGCCCATGCTCACCCCCATAATTAATAGTCATTAACAGACGACACCCAAACCAACCACAGCTCTTGGCTCTAAATCTAACATCCTCTCAGAAATGATGAATGTTTTTCTTGTGTTAAAGCAAAAAATGTTATACAGATAAAAAAAAATTATTATAAAACTTCTTCTTATTAAAGCAGAACCTTTAATAATAATATGAGGAATGAATAAACAAATGTTTACTTAATATGTCTTTAAAGCATTTTAGTGGACTTGTGCTTATTATATGATCTCTACTAATAATAATGAAGCTTAATATATTGTGTTCAATTCAATAAGAGGATAATGCAAATTTATAAAAACCATAAAATAATAAATAGCATAACTAATAGTTTAATACTGCACACTCATTCGAATAACTTACCCACTTTACGTAAAACAAATACCCTATATAGTCTACGTCTCACAGCCTTATAACTGCTGTCTGAAAACTTTCAGCCAAACTCTTGATATTTTCATAGTTTAACTACAAAAAAATCATTAATACTGAGCAAAATATTCATAAACTGCAACTAAACACTAATAATAGATACACTTTATGTTTTAGGCACAATATATCCATTACATGTGAGCAGAGCGCCTCCTAATGCCAGCAAAAAGTATAACATCAACATAAAGTCATAAGAAAAAATAATGATCATATTTTTTTTTGTTTGTTTATCAAATATAGGAATGTAAAACTGCATTATTCACTGTTTTTTAGCTTTTATCTACTGCATGGTATTGATAATCATCACTGTACCCTTAGAGAATATTTAATCCAACATATTTCATCATAACAGCAGGTGATGAAACAATACATTTATCTGGAAGTTTTATACCTCAGTCTGAGGGCACACTGACCATTTTAACAGAAATTATTCCCATAATGATAAAAACAATATTTTTTTCCTGTCCCCTTTTCATTCAATATTTTACATGTTCACCAAGTGATGCCTGTACATGGTATTGTAACATGAGGGCAATCATAAACAGATTACATTAGAAATGGTAAAATATATACAGCTCTGTCCTGTAAATAGAGGGTAGTATTTTTGCGCATGTTTGTGTTGTAATAAAACTCTTGAGCTTTACCTTTAATCTAAACAACATCTTGTAGCAGTTTTAAAATACTTTAGTCCATATCACAGAGGGTCAGATGTACAAGTATACAAATTTACAAAAACCTTCTCTTGTTTTGATAACCTGTAACTTCTGAAGATCAGAAACTAAAGGCTGTGATAAGATTCTCAGATTTGTATTATTAGTGACTACAGATAAAAAGCAAAACAAAAGCCTCCTTTTTCCTGAGATTGCTCAGTGATATACTTACTCTGGTATATTTGTTCAGTTTCAGACAGACACAATAAGAGTGGTGATTCAATGGCAAACAATTTAACAACTTAACGCTTTCAGTAACATTCTGAGTGAAGAATGTAAAGTCAAACAAAGACTAATAAACAGACTGTTGGTGCTTAAGCTTGAATGTAAACATAGATAAAGCAGTTAATGCTACAAAAGCAAGTCTGACCTAACATTTAACTGCTGTTTGAATTTCTCTAGCCTAAAATACATCAAGTTAAAGGTTCAATCATTAAACTTTTAAAATGTCAGTTAAATCTTGGGGACAGAAACTTGATTTCCCAATTTGTTTCACAAAACCAAACATTCCTGAAGATTTATGGGAGGACAGGAAACAACAAAACATATTTTTTTCAGTTGAACAAAACACCAAATGTATTTGTCTGCTGAGGAGGCTCTCAATGATGTCAATACTCTGAATGAAGAGGTAACATTCTTTTTAAATTTTTTCAAAAGTAGATGGAGCAGGGATTTGAATCAACAGCCCTCTGGTTGGAGAACAACCATCTGCAGGTAAGTAATAAAATAACCACAGTGCTTCTATAATTTTATGTTCAAGAATTTTGGTTGTTTGGGTTTTTATTTTATGGCTATATAAACAAGTAGATGAATTCATGAAAAGAGGGTTTTGTGAAATAACAACAGCTCAGGCCTTCATGATAAACAATTTATTTATGATCAATCAAGTTTTAATTTCACCCCTAAAACAACAAAAAAATAACACTTAAGTTGAGGTATTTAATGTTTGATCTGCTTAGGTCTCTTGTTCATCAGAGTGATCAAGTGTAATAACAATAAAGCAGATAAACCAAGACTATAAAAAATTGATAAATAGTACAAGTACAGTATAATAGTACAATAGTACAGAATAAAAAAAAACAGTACACCAGTTATTTTAAAATCAGATAACAGTTGTGTGAATTAAAAAGAAAAAGAACAAAAACACTGAAAGTCCATTAAGATGCATTGCCTCTGACCCAGACACTGGAATTCCTGTTAAGAGATAAAAACCAAAAATAATACAAATTAATTTAACTTGTCATTATTTATTATCAGGTGGAATACTACAAACTGCAGAATATTTGTTTGTACCTTTAACTTCTACTCTCTTTGTGTCCTCAGCGGAGCGTCCTGCAGCTTTGTTCTCTGCAATACAAGTGAAGTTCTGAAAAGTCCCTGGATAAGAGGGAATCCACTTAAGGTGATTTGCATTAACTGAAAGGAAGGACCCAATGGGAAAACCTCCCCTGAAGTCCCACCTGACAGTACATTCAATATTTAGGGTGCAGCTGGTCAAACAGGAGAAATGACTCAACCTGCCAGGAAACACCACATCAGGTCCGCTGATGGTGACGTTCCATGGATCATCTGCAAAACAGTCATTAAATGAGAACATGTCACAACAACAAAAACTTGGAGGTTACTTAATCTACTCCTCCAGCTGCATACTTACAGCTTAGCAGAAATCCCAAGCTGTAAACTCTCGTCTCTGATGTTGGCAGATAAATTTCACATTGATAGAAGCCAGCATCAGAGGACAGCAGAGAGTCAAAGTGAAGAGTGAGATTGTCCTGAAGGAACTGCATGTTTTCACGGAGAGTCAATCTTTGTCCATCTTTATACCAGACAATATCTGAGAGATTCTGATGGTGTCTAGATTCAGAATCATGGCAATCTAAGCTGAGAGGCTGGTTGAGCACTGGGACAGCGTTTGGAGGACTGGTTCGCACAGAGATGGGATCTGTAGCACAAGATGCAAAGAAAAGAAGGGAAGAAATTTTTGAATTAATTTACCCCTTGGTTATGTTGAGATGAAAGCTATTTTACACCATCCAAATAAAGTGTATACTCAGGAACCCATTAACTCAAAATAGACATTTCTCTCCAAACATGTAGAATTTTCCAATAGTTTCCTAGCTATCAATGTTAATGAAAGACTTTCATCTCCTTTCTTGACTGTGACATCATTGTTTTCTTTACATACATAAACATACATAGCATACCCTTTACATTAACCTGCTATTAAAAATACATCTATATTTTAGGATAACATCTGTACTCATATCTAATGTGTCACTGAATCTCCAACAGGACACATAATGCAGCTAATGGCATTCTGTGTCTCCATCATAGCAAAAAGATGGCCGAACAATGCATGGGACTTGAATTACACAGCTGAAGATGTTATATGAATGTTTAAATGTTAGATTAAACGTGTGTAGTCACTATCTGACTCTATACTTACTCCAAATCTCTACTATGGTGGTTGTACTGCTGTATATTCCTGTTTTTGGATTTAGCACGATGCACTGCAGTTCCACTGAAACATCCTGCCCATCTGGTGTCCAGGTTAATGAGCTCCCATTGACGGGTCTGCCGTTAAGGTTCCAGCTGTAGACACAGTTTGGGAAACAAGAAGAAGAACAAGTGAAGGTAGTGCGGGAACCAGCGGTCACTCTGCCAGTCCAGGAGATCTGCACAGATGCACCCAATCCTGATTCTCCTGTAGAAAACGAAGAAATTTTTTTTTTATTAATTTAGGTATAAAGTCAATATTTGGTGATTTTACAACATTTAATACAAATATTAAGTGTATCTATTATTTAATCACAAATAAAATACATATTTATATTAAAAATCGTTGCAGAGATAGTTTTGATTCCTATCAACCTTTTAAAAGTCAATCTGAGGCATCTGACTGTTATTATATGGGTATTTAAGAAAATTATTATGTTTAGAAGCTATTATGATGCAGTTTTCTTACCCATAAGTCCCAGCAGCAAAGCACAGTAGAGAGTTTTCATGGTGATGGTCATAGTAAAGCTCTTCATCTTGTTCTGAACCTAATAACTGGCCTCTAAAACCTTTTTCTTCATATATCAGTTTACATATTTCACAACTAAGGAAAATTCTTAGTGATGAAATGACCACAATCCACAGAGTGGAAGTTTCCTAAGCATGCCTGCAACCTGAATTCTCGCGGTATTTGTGAGTAAAACTGAAAAAGATAATCATTAATAGAACTGTGTTAACCATTATCAGTCTGGCTTAACAGGATAGAAGTTTCAACAACAAAGGATGATAATGTGTGAGCTGGTTGTGTCAAAATTGCGCAACTGTGTTGATTTTTTCAGGCTAATAACTTCTTACGCCACTAGATGGTAATATAAGACATGAAATACTGCATAACTTCTCCCTTAGTCCTAATAAAGTATCAGGCAAATTTTATTTTGTTTTAAAGGAAATATAGAATAAACACATTGTGTTCAAATTGTGAGATCCGGCTGAATGCCATTATAAGCAATATTTGCATATATATATGTTCATAAAATACAAAATAAAAACTACATTTTACTGTGTACATAGACTACGTCAAAGGAAGAACAATGTGGCTGTTGTTAGGCTCAGTTTTGTTCCTTAAAATAAAACATAGTTTGATCAAACTTCCAGAAAACCTTAACACCTTAAATGTTTGTGTGATTTGTGAAAGTTAGAGCTTTTACAAACATCTGAACTTTGCTATTATTGAGAACTTACAACAGTGTGGCTTCATTAATATGAGTATTTATGGGTGTGTGTGTCTTTTCTGCACTTGCCTGTACAGTCTTGCCAAATAGATGAAAACTGCTATTTGTATTGATAAATCAACTTCATTAACAAACATACCTCTTCGAAAGTCCTGTCATCTTTAACTACCATGGATAATTCATTAACAATGGACTTATAAACAAATTCTATCCTTTGAGGAACGAAACCCCAGACAGAGTAAAAGTAAACAGCTGACATAAACAGAAAAGAATTCAGGGCAGGAAATAAAAAAAAAACAAAAAACTGACTCAATCAAAAGGATCTTCACTAATGGTTATTTTTTATAGTGAAAGAAAAGTATTCAAACAACATATAAAGACTTTAAATGAGCATGCTTATCTGTTGTTGCAAAGCATTTACAAAACTTAACATCCGCCTAAAATTAGGTTTGGTAATTAAGGGTGAAGTTCAAATAAGGAACAGCTGATGCTTTAAACCATTGACGCTACATGAACTTCCTTATTTGTAGGTGAAGTTCAAAGGTTGCTCGTCCTGCTTTACGGGAAATCTAGAGGCGTTTTACAATCTTTATCTTGTTCTCTTTATTGCATCCCTCTCTGAGTTTGATGTTTCTTAACTGACATGCTCAGGAAGAAAAGAAAGTTTTAAGGTGTCATGGTGACTCAAACGGAATTTCCTGTAACGTACTTCATCCTTATTACCAAATAATCTGATTATAAACGCCTAAGTGATGATTAAAGACCAATCTCTTTTACAACAAATTCTCTTCCAGTTGCACTTTGAAAATTTTTTGACGCATGGATGTTTTTATACTTTGTTAGAATAACATTATACCTTCATCATAATCACCTTCTGCGGGTTTGACGTATTTACAGTGCTTTGTGCGTAGCAGATGGCCATAAAATCAAAATTACATTTCTTCTAGCATTAAATTTCCATTTATTCTGATATTTAAGGAAAGCTGTTTTTATATTGATATGATTCCCATTGCTAACATTTCTAATATTAATATGATTTGTTTAAATACTTTAAAAAATATTAATCTAAATGTGTGCGTAAATGCAAGACTATCATGATTTTCATACTGCAGTGCACTGATGGTGCAGATATGTCGCATTGCACTCAGGAGCTTTCATGATTCAAATATATTGGTTTGTTGATAACCTAAAAGCTGAATGATGAAGAGAACATTACAGCTCAATTTACATTTACTGCGATTACAGGAAAACCTGGTTAAATATTAAATACCCAAGAGATTGTCGGCCAAAGTTCAAATGAGTTAATAATAGACGGTTCTGGGATGTTAAAGCCTGTGTCAGGTCCATCAGATACATTTGGTGTTTGCTCGTTCCTGTTTAGGAACCATTGACTGTTTCCATCAGTGGCCTTGTTCCTTTTTGTTCTCATAAGCATATGAACAAAGACTAAAGATAAACAAGTGTTTTGTTAAAAAAAAACGCATTCGAACCTCACAACCTCCCACTTCACTCTAAATGGGATTTTCCTGGTTCAAAGTCTGATGTTTGGAGCCATCAGAAAATCCTGTGAAACTGATAGAGGAGAGACACACATAATCATCTCCCGAAAAAGTAATAAGGAAAGATTTTCTAAATCAGCCAGTTTCTCAGTTAGTGTTACTGTCAATACGATCATTTCAGATAAGCTGTATTTTATAATTACGTTTAATAGCTTTACTGTAATTTCATCCGGACCGAAGTTCACTTTGCGATGGTATTGTGTGACGGTTCAACAGTATTCGGCCTTATTGTCCCATAATTAAATAAAATTATATGTCTCGCTAACGTGAAAGGTCTAAGGCAGGAAATAGCAATACCAAAAACGACTCTGGACATTCTGTCAGATTCAGCATGACTTGAAAAACCTAAATACAAAAAGCAAGCCATCATCAGATTTGTACACTGTACAGGGTATTACAAAATAAAATACCGGTACGTGACATCCTCTCAGTACAGTAGTTCCCAACCCTGCTCCTCAGCAAACACTGTCCTGCATGTTTTAGATATATTTCTGCTCTGCCACACCTGCATCAAATGATTGCCACCTCAGCAGCCATCAAGGACTGAGGAAGCCTGTTAATCACCCAGTTTTTTAAGTCAGGTAAGTGGAAGCAGGGGAACAGCTATGCAGGGCAGGGGGCTCTGAGGAGCAGGGTTGGGAACCACTGCTCTAACAACTTGAATATAATCACACGTTTCCAGTTCTTAGCATATTTCTGTTTCTAGAATCTAAGTGTTTCCATGTCAATTACACATTTCAATGAAAAACAGAGTTCAGTTAACAGGAAATTATTTATTTTATTAAGATCTGAACATTTTAGGTTTCGTCTGTAAATCATATAAGCATTTTAATTAACTTTTTATTTACAATATACAATATCAAAATCAAAACCAAAAAAAGATGCACATTGCAAAACTATCTTGAAACAAAACTTCCAAATATATTTCAACTTTATTTCAACATAAATCATGCATGTATCAAAACACAGAAAATGTTGGATTTTTAAACAAATAAATGAAATAACATCTGTTAAATTACTTATTTTTTGTACATGTACTTTTAACATTTGTGGCAAGAACAGAGGAAGAAACTTTAAAATCTTATCAGAGTAACAATAGTTAAACCAATTAGTGCACAGCTTCTTCATTTCTGTTAAACATTAGATATTTGTTGGTTAGACACACAAAATATAACCAGAACATCTAGGAAAAATAATTTTAAACCTTAAATTAATAAAACCTTAAAAGTTTTCCTTAAATAGAAAACTTTGAATCAGTTTGACTGTATGATCTGGTGAACAGTAAAGTGCCTTTAGATGATATGTGTTGTGAATTTGCACTATATAAATAAACTGAATTGAGTTGAATTGAATTAAATCCCTAATATTTTTTTCTCTTAAGGCCCCTTGGTCACAAAAACACAGCGAAATTAATAAAACATTAGTTTGACATATTAACATTGATTAGAAACTTCATAGAATCTACCAGACTTACTATGATCTGTAAACTTGAATTTCAACTTGAAAATCCTAACCGAGTTAAATATTGCACAGAACAATCAAAAGCATTATGGTCAATAAAATAAATAAAGAAGTTAAAAGCTCTCTCTGCATTACTGTGCCAGACTTCTGTTGGTTTTTACCCTGATCCAAGCACATTCTGCTGAGTAAAGTTCAACCTCCATCCTTCTTCATTTGTCTGTGGGAATCTTGCTCTTTAGCTTCTCCACTGCTAAAAAAAAAACAAGAAAAAGGAAAATTTTTAGAAGTCACAGGATTTCTATAAAAAAAAAAAAAAAAAAATCATTATTAGAGATGATTTGTTTATTGACATTAACATCAGTATTGACTGATTTTGGTCATTTTTAACAACTGAATATCGTTATTTTAACCAATTTTTACTAAAGCAATTTCTTTCTTTTTCTTTTTTTAACTAAGGCAGTTTCAATGGCATATTAATACTGATATCAAATTAAATTTGTGTTGTTAAGAAAATATTAATTGATTGACCATCAGACAAAAGTAGACAAACAGTATTGCAACATGCAACCATTAAATACTCTATCAGTTTGCACTGCTGAAGCAGTTGTCAATTATCATTGGTTTCCCACCTTTGACTAGGAAGATTTTGAGGAATACGACTTCATTTACTTTCATAGTAGGTCACAGGGAGAATTAGCTCTTCCACATATGAAAGTGTGAATGATTTAGATGTTAATAATTTGTCTGAGTGATGTAATATGAATTGCTTATGGAATCAATCAGATTTACAACACTTGCTAATCCTTTACCTAGACATGAGAAGGCGCTCCTCCAGCTGTGTTGTTGTGGTTCACCCTGACTTGAGCGTAGTCAGATGCAATATTATCCAAACCCACTGGGGTTGGGTTTGCTTCTTTCTTCTTTGCAAACTTGATTCTTGCATAGTTCAGCTGCAGTAAAGAAAAAATAGATTTTTATTCAAATAAACTCTATAATACAAACTGTAAATGATGATGCACAGATTTTAAATGGTAGTAGATATGTATTAGAAAAATGATGTTTTTCATACAACCTTTTTTATTTCGTTTCAAGTGTGAGGTGAAATAATTATTACATCATCTATAATTTATCTTTAAACATTTGAACCAGAATTTACAAGACGCAATAAATCTAGCATGACTGACTGGAAGTTAAACCTTAGTACAAAGATGATGCAAAAGATTTAGAGAAAGTTTAACTTTTTTTATTACAAGTCTGAACTGCAAAAAATACATTTTCAGGCTGTAGTAAGGCAGAATAAAATGCATTAAGGCCCATTAATGTCAAAGTGTTACTATCTGGAATAAAATATTATAAACTAAGTGCTTAAATGTTCTTACCTCACTTGAATCATCAGTTGTTTTGCTCCTTTTTCTGTTTGGAGAAATGAATATCATTACATACTGAACAAGCTTTGTCTGACTTGTTGCCAGAGGGGTGCAAAAATAAAGATGTATTTACTCAGCACAGTCTAGTTAATATTTTATCTGTTCTGCATGAGCACGTTCATACCTCAAATGTTTGTTTTATTTAACACATGATCACCATATATTAATTTAAAGCTGTTAAAATGTTATACCACCAGCAGGAAAACAGTTTAAAATAAAGCTTTACACACAAGAATATATATATTTTTCTGTATTTCTTTACTGTCTTAAGTCCTATTAGTTAGTTGCATTTGGTCAATAATAATTACCAAGAGACATAATATTGAAAAGACCTTGAAATTTATCTTTTTTTTATTATCTTTTTTATCATTCGGACGTTATATTTATGTCCTTGACCTTTGGTTCCTTTGCTTTATAAACTGGACACTTAATGTCAAACGTTTTTGGCATATCCCTCCACATGTTATATAGTCATTCTTTTCCTGTCCACATTCAGTGATGCTACATCTAAATATTCATGGCACATGTTTAAATAAGAAAAAGTAGTGCTTTTATATGATTCTTAATATATATATTTTTTTCAGTTCTGGTGGTCTAAGAGAGGAGAAAGTGGATTGGTTGTAATGTTCTTGCATTTTATTGAGTAGTCAGACACTCATGGATTATGCATATTTAAAACCTTCCATTCTGAGGCAGTAAATCTGACTCCTGTGTGATATTATGATGGTTGGATACATTTATGCTGTTTTCACCTTGATAAAGTTGTTTAAACAGATCATCTTGACACCTTGTGGTATCTGGAAATTATAACCATGAATTAGCTTTGCCTGTGGAAGTCAATGTTCCTTTTAATTATTTTCCTACGGTGTTAAAAAAGGAAGATATGTGACTGAGTCGAGTGTCTCTAACTTAAATGAACTAAGCCAATGATGTATCTTGGCTTTCCCAAATTGTTTAAAAGTAATGCAATCTTGGTGGTAAAAATACATTCCTCATTATTAAAACAAAACAAAGAAAAAATACAGTTACTCAATTTCCTTCCCTGCTTATGTAAGCATCTGGCTTCTAATATGTAAACGTGTAAACCCAGTTAATTAGACAAAGCAAAGTCATGGAGTTACCTAAAAAGACAAGACCACATTCACCCCTCAAGATTAGAAATCCAAAGATATGTCAACCCTTGCGATTTTTTGCGGAGAGCAGCCCTCATGGAGCATGGATACAGGCCAAAGGTTTAATCATTTAGTAATAATAATAAGATGATTTTGCAAAGCTTTTTTTTCCACTTACTTTGAAACCATGAAATAGTATCCAACGCCAACAAAAACTGCGACAACGACTAGGCACGCAATAACTATTCCAGCAATTGCTCCTGCAGGTAATCCTGGTTTCTTTTCTGAAAAAAGAACAAACAACATATTTTGCTTCTTTAACTTCTGATGGAATCACTGCTTGAAAAATTGTGACAAATGTTTATGAGGAGATGCAGTGGATGCAGTCAAATAAATGCCTGAAATGTTTTTTCTCTGTTTAAAGGTAATAAATTTCAGTGCACAAAAATAACAGTCTGACATAGTATAAACAATTACAAATATAACACAATGTGTATTTAACTTTGCAATGATAAAAGAAATAGTTCAGAAGTAGTTTCTCTTTCATGGTTATTGTTGTCACCATCTTCCTAACAGTAAACATTGGTAATAATGACTTTGCTTTGTAAAATTAGAAAGAAAATTTCATAGATAATCCTGAATTCTAGCGAATTGCTAGATGCAAGAAATCCATTTGGAAAAGACGTTGACCTCAAAAACCCCTTAGTTATACTTGCAAACACTATTAACTTGTGATTGAATTTTGCATCAGATAGTTTCTCTAATTGTCCATACTAACAAGCACCAGCTAAAATACGAATGTTTCCAGGAATCATTCAAAGCACACCAAAGCAACACTTGTTCAAACATGCTTATAATTAATAGTAAAGAGCAAGACAGCTATGCAAAAAAATGTACCAATAGATATGGATAGAGTTTAAGTCTGTGATGCATTTATTCAGAGGTGGTCTTGTTTTACCTGCAATGTGGGGGATGTACTTTGTAAAATATCCTACATACAGGGACTTACAGGTCCCCATATGGTAAAGTTAGGTTCTTAAAGTTGGGGTTAGGTTTAGGACTAAGGTGGGAATTCAGTTTAGGTTAGGGTTGGTATATGTTGGTAATAGTTAGGATTAGTGTAAGGGTCTGGGTTAGGCCATAGAAAATGAATGCAAGTCAATGACATGGTCCCACATGTACTGAAACAAAGCTGGGTGGTTGTGTGCTGCCATAAAAAAAAATGTTTACCATAACGAGATATTTAGTACAAATAGCCATAGATTTCTCTGTATAAAAACATCTGATCAAAAAATTAATTTGCTTTTTTATGTTTAAGTTGTATAGTTTAGCAGAAATAGAATAACAGTTAGAACGAGCTTCCGTATAAACATTTAGCTTATATTTTTGATTAGAAATGATTACCTTACAATGCTAAGAAACACATTTAGGCCAAACTACTTTAAAAAAAGACATTTTTTTGGAAAAGTGTAAAATAAGTAATGCTATCAAATCTTAAATAGTCAACATTTTTAAACTTACCAGATATAAGAACAGTTACTGGTCGAGATGATAAGTATCTCAAAGTTTTGTTATTAAAAGCCTGACAGCTGTAGCTTCCATTTTGATTCAAGGTAACATCAACAAGCTTCATTTCTGATTCAGAATCAGAAAGTTGTTCTCCATTTAGAAACCATGAAAATAAAGGAGCAGGGTTGGACTCTGCTGAGCAGGACAAGGTGATGTCTGAGCCTTCAGCATAACTTTCTTTTGGTGGTGATTTTGTTAAGTTGATATTTTCGGGGCCATCTGTAAGGTGTTGTATATGTGGAGAGAATTCACTGTTAAGTAGCTAACAACACATTCAGCTTTTTATGCCTGATTAGAGCATCAGCATTATTATAAAAGACAAATGTTTGGAAAATGCTTGAATTTTGTGGAAAAGTAATATTACTGTGATGAAAGATAGAGACTCACAGATTATGGTGAGGTATAGTGGATCACTGCTGTCATTACTGAAATCATTACTGGCTAAACAGGTATAAAATCCCTGATCATGTCTGGTCACATTGACTACAGTCAGATTGGATCCTCCTTCAGTGATCTGAATTCTGTCACTTGCTGAAACCTCAATGCCATCTTTCTTCCAGGTGAAACGGGGGGAGAATCCAGATGCAGAACAAGACAGTCTGACAGAACTGTTGAACTCTACCAAATCAGTGGGGGGTGATGCGACGAAAACGTTAGAAATACGTTCTGTAGGGCAACAACAGAAATGTGTTAACATATTGTAGCTAAAAAATGGAACCTTGTTCATTAATAAAAAACTAAAGAACATTGGGAGTATTTTTTTTTTTTCTAATTAAATATTTTTTTAATATTGGCTTGTGGATGGATGTCATTCAAGTGACAAATTAAACTGGAAAAGCATTGAGGTGTAAAAGCCTTCATAGAAGTATACTTCTATGATGATTAGTTTCAATTCCAGTGAAAATTCCCTGTCATCCAGGTCATAGTCATTCCAAAAAAGTTAAAAAACAATCCACTGGACTTTGTTTCCAAGTTTGAAGATGTTTTGTTTCCAATCTAGGAAACTTTTACAATTCAGTTTTTCAATGGCTAATTAAACCTAAGGTTTAAATTTACCTGAAGACTAACCAAAAATATATATATTTTTAATTTGAATTAAATATTTATATGTATTGTCGTAAGCCTAAATATATATATAGAATGACAGTCTAATTAAATTAAAATGATAATCTAAATTTAAAGAATGAACTTTAAGTATAAAGAACGAAAGAAGTAATGTATAGAATTACATTAAAATATACATTAAATTTATCTTTAATGTATGAATGAATTAAACTAAATTAAATATATTTATGTATTCAGCGCCAATTTAAAGCATATATAATCTCAAGCCACTAAATAGTGATAATTCTGTCTGGTCATCCAGTCAGATTGGTTGAAAGTTTTATATCTTATAGCTGAAAAAGCTGGACCTTATTATTATTACAAAAACTAAAGGTAGTATTTTTTTTCTTGGTTGATTCAGCTGATTGCATCGAGTCATTGTCTTTACTGGATTCATTCCTCCTGGATGAACATGTGGCAACAGTAGATATTCACTTATAATATGCGATTGACGCTATGGCAATCCCTGACACAGAGCATGCATGCTCATTACCAATTGTGTTGGGCAGAAACAGATTGTTGAAAGGTGCCATATATTCAATGGTCATTACATATATTCAGATTTCCGTTTATCAGGACTTTTCATTAAGTATTTTTAGATCATGTATTCAAAGATATGAAAAAAAGAAATGCATAATGATTTCTCTAATGGCATGCTATAATAAACAAAACAAAAGCACAAGTTCTTTGGTAATCCCTCAAAACCCCTTTATGACCACCCTGCCTCTGTCTTCAAAGGCTGCGCTCTGTCTACTGTTTGGAGCGTATGTGTCCACCTGCCTGCCAGTTCATGTGACTCCAAGTTAGTCTGAGTTGATGAAAGACTATGAAGGGTGCAGGGCAGTCCATTGGTCTTGCTGGCGGGGCGAGCACCATGGTAACTGTCAAACTAAAACTTTAAATAGCGCTGACTCAGGGGCAGAGTTAGCCATTTTTGGACCCAGGTGATCTTTTGTTAGGGGGTCCTCTTCAAAGTCTGACTTAATGTCCCAGTAGGCCCTGAGAGTGTTTTAAGATTCTGTGGGGTGCCACAATCTCCATACCACAATACTTTAAACCAGATAGCAGCATAACATTCTATTATGCTTCCTCCTCTGGCTTCCACAGCTAAGGCATGAGTGGGTACCGAAACCCGGCATCAAAACATCCCAGTAGCCATGCGAATGGTCCTCCAAGACCATTAAGCTATAGCTTAACCGGGCCTCTTGACTATAAGAAGCACACATGCTGAGGGGACTGATTGGAGGGGAGAACGTTCTGCTCTCACTGTTGCTTTGTTTACGCTCTTCCCACATTGTTGCCATCTATTCAGTAACTTTTCAGACCTTCCTAGCAACTTTTTCTGTTTTCAAGAATAGTGTCAAATGCAATAAGTTTTTTCTATGATGTTTGAGACTTTGATGCAAGTGAAAGCATCCGAGCCTCTCCAAGTTTGAAAGCACTGACAGTTTAAGCATTAGACGAGCGTGATTCCAGTCTGTTCCCTAGTGAAAGGTTTAAATATTGAGATTTGTTGGAGAATCTATACCTACTGCATAGTAAAATTGTAAGTGATTGGACAAAAACTTCCCTAAGCAGTTGGTTTGTAAAATCTCACATAAAAGAAGTGGAAAATCTGATCAAAATATTGCAAAGAGTTTAAGGCGATACCGATTTTAAAGTGACAAGGTCTGGGATTGTTTGAAACAGTGGCTGTTAAAAGGCATCACAACGTACTGTCTTATATCTGATCAAGGGACACTAAACTGTTTTCGAAAACTCAAAGACACCAATGACAGAAAATCAGGACTTTTCCTATGCGTCGAACTTAAACCTTATTTTAACAGTGATATAAGGATAATGGAAAGTAGTCTTGAATTAGATAACACTGTGATTGATGCATAAAAGTCTAAACTAAACCAGAAATGTATTACATGAATCTGCTCCCCCTTACAATCTTTCATTGGTTTTTCAAATCTTTATGTTAAATATGGATGAGAAAAATATCATTTTAGAAGATGACAGGCTAAATATTTGCAAAACTTATATTAGCATTTCCAGTTCTGGTTATGGGGAGAATTTTCTTGGAAGAAGATCATTACTTTTTTTTTATCCTCACCAAATTCAACAACATCAGAAATGTCACTCAAGTTAGGGAAGGTGCTGGAGAGAGTGTGAAAAATACTTAGGAAGTTTTAGTAGGTTTTAAGATTAAATATATTGTCTATACAATTTTGGTAATTCTACAGCACAAAGAACTTAAGCTTTAAAATGCCGCCAAAAAAATAAAGAATAAAAAAATAAGGACAGCTGTTGTGATTATTATTTCCTCTTAAAACAAACAAAAGAGAAGACAGGAGAGTCTTGATTCTACTCACACTGTGACTATGGAATAGAGGCTGAAGGTTGAATCTATTACCACAACTACTACTACTAAAGAAACTACAAAGAAACTGCTTCGAGAACTCATCCTACTGAACAACTCTGCCACGTGGCAATATCTCACATTTTAGTATGATTTATAAACAACAAATAATATCTGCCCTGACCTTCTCACATTTGTAGAATGTCATGCTAATGTCTAAAACAGTGGTGTCCAAATTCAGTCCTAAGAGCTGCAATCTGCCATTTTGAAATTGCATTTTAAGAAAGAAAAACAGCAACAGCCGATTGCAAAGCTGAGCCAAAAAGAGCACGTAACTGGCAACTTCCTTAAAATGCAATAGTGTAGAAAGTCACACAGTAGTATGCCCCCCCCCCAAAAAAAACAGTCGTCAAGTTAATGTACTTTGTTACGTTCGACCACTGACTGCGGTATTATTATAATAAATTTGGACTTCATAATGTATTTACATATGACTAAAACCTCCTGTTGTAATAATTGCCTCAAACTCTCATAATTATGAGATACAGATTTTTTTTCCCTTTGGTGAATGCAATACGGTTCCGTACTTTTGCGTTTCTTAGTCTACATTTCAATATTTCAAATTCTGTTTAACAACAACAAAACTTTACTGAATAAACTGCTTATTCAGCATCATGATGTAAACATCAAGTTACTGAAGAAGATGATCTAACATTTTAGGTTCAAGTAAAAAAAAAAAAACTTCCCTATATTTACAGTAAATATCCACCTGTGCAAAGTGTATTGTTAAAAGTCCCCCTCAGTTTATGATTTGTTCCCTTGCAGCAAAAACAAAAGATTTTTTTTTTTTTTGCTTGAGTTCTTTTCTACAAATTTCTCTACTGATGAGAGTGAAACCTTTATGTCACCGGAGACAGAAATAAAGTACATTCTGAGCTACATATAGTGAAATGCATACTCCTAAGCAATATCTATAGAAAAAATGCACTTGAACTTTTTGGGTTTTAATTACAATATAGTGCCTCATCATGCACCTTTCTTTAATCTTTTTTCTAATATAAGAATAAGTATTAATTTTTAGTAATGAAGAACTATATCAAAATATATTTGAGTATATTGCAGTCCTGTTTAAAGCACTTTGTGTGATGCCCAAGAAACAAGCAGCTGCTCTGGCCATTAAAGGACAAAAAAAACGATCAGTTCATCCCATCGTGCACATGAAGTTTAGCAGTCCTAGTGCTACATGTGAGCAACTAACTATTATTTCTGCATTCTTTTTTTTCTCACCAGGTCATAGTAGAATGGGCAATAATTACTTACAATATAATTAAAACTAACCTGATTGATTTTCAATTTGAATTATCAAATCATTTTCAAATCAGTAATTTTGGGGCTTAATGCATATTTTTAACAGACAAAGACATTCAGAGCTAAAAGAAAACATCTGGGCCTTAAAGAAGTCATTAACTGGTAATTGCTTGGTCTCAATACAAAATAGTTAAAACGTAACACAAGCAGCAACACGTACTGACTGCCTACTGGTGAATCCCTGATTGATGGAATCGACCCTCCAGGTGAAACAGAGACAGGACACTAATGTTACCAAACTTCCAGGATTGAAATCAATAGAGGAGGAAGATCAAAACACTTTTTGGAGGCATGCTCTTGTAGCGCTTCAGTTTTAAAAACCAAGCTACTTTCACACTCTGAATTTTCAGGACAGGTTTTAATTAAAGCCAAAAACCAAAACAAACATTTTAACACGAAAACGTCAGATTTCGAGGTAATGATTACTTTTTTGTATCAAACGTACATAGATAAATAAATCCATCCCAGTTAAAAGAGATTCTAAAAGTATTCCTTTCTCTGTCTCCAAATTGTCCATATTTATGGACAGCAATGCTTCCCCCTCCAGAGGCGCAGGACAAATTGACAGAATCATTTTTAGGCAGACCGACAGTCTTTCTCCATGGTCTTTGAAAAATCCTACAAGGCTACAGCCCAGAAAGTATCATGCTTGTCTTCATATATAAGACATATATAATGCTGCCCCAGGAGTCCCACAAGCCTAAGAGTCTTGACATGACCTCTTCTTCAAATTGAAAGCATCCCTTACTGCCAGTGTCCACTACCAGGTTCATGAGCTGCTACCATTACAGGCTAACAGGCTGCCTGTATTGTCTCCAGTGCATCATGTGTACACTGCACAAAAGACAAAAGACATCCCCAATACAAGTGGCTGAAATGAGCTTTCCCTGCAGGGTTGCTAGGCGCTCCTCATAGGGTGAGGAGACCCACTTCTCCACATAGAGTGGAGTCAGCTGTGGTCGCTCAGACATCTTTTTCAGATGCCCTCTGTATGCCTCCCTCGGGAGGTGTTCAAGGCATGCCCTCCAGGAAGAGGCTCAGGGTACAACCCAGGACACGCTAGATAGAGAGACTATCCCTCTCAGCTGGCCTGGAAGTGCCTTTGACTTCCCCCAGCAGAGCTGGAGGAGGGGCCTCGGAAGAGGGAAGTCTGGGAGCCTCTACTGAGACTGCTGCCCCTGCAACCCTGTCCCGGATAAAGCAAAAAACAAATACATATAGAGTCTCTTCATTCGTGTGGAACAGGGAAGAAGTCCATAAAGTATTGTGTCACATTCATTTTTTCATTTTGTTCAAATTAAATCATAATATTAGATTTTAAATATACACAAATATTCCAGAGACACTATAAGAGGGGTGGTCAACTAGTGGGAAAGGTGTACAATTCTGAGCTAAAAATAGAAGCACAATTATAGGAGAGGAAGTAAAGTAAGAGAGAAATCACTCCATAGATAGACTTCCACAGATGCACGATATCAAAGGTAATGGAGTTTAAAACAATTTGTCTAAAACAATGGGCAATAATCAACAAATATATAAAACTTTTCTTTATATAAATTTCTCCATTGTAGTGGTTATGGCAATGAGCATGAAGTCTTACAAGGTGTCGGGGTGCTGAATACAAATGCTCTTTTGAATTTGTTATATATAAAACAATCTCTGTATTGATTTCTCCTTCTGTGACTTAAAATCCCAGTAAAACTTGGTACTGTTTGTGACTGTGCTGTGACTTACCCACTATAGAGATAGATGCAAGTTCAGATGTCTGCTTTTTTGTGGTTTTACTGTTAAAGGCCTGACAGCTGTAGTTTCCACTCTGATTCCTCTGAACACTGATTAGCCTGAGCTCATGTTCAGAATTAGGCAGAAGTTTTGCATTTAGGAACCAACTAAACACGGCAGCAGGTCTGGAGTCAGCTGAACAGGACAAGGTGATGTCTGAACCTTCCACATATGGATTATGAGATTCAGGGTTAACCTTTAATTTGACTTTTTCTGGGCCATCTGAAATTGTAGAAAATACTTATTTAATAGTTAATGATGATTAACTAAATATAAATACTAACATCATGATCATTATTGTTAGTTAAAGCTTATTTTAACAACCTTCGTTTTAGGACTAATAGCTAAAAAAGTTTTTAAGCTTTGCTTAAGTTGCATTTTCTTTCTTTTAAAAAGAGATTATCATATGTGAACAACTTACAGCTGACAGAGAACTTTACTGGATCACTGTTGGCATTGCTGACAGGATTGGACACTTCACAGCTGTATGATCCCTCGTCATTTCTGGTCACATTGACGATAGTGAGATTGGATCCTCCATCAGTAATCTGAACTCTGTCACTGGCTGTAATCTCAGAGGAGTCTTTCATCAAACGGAAGGAGAGAGATGATCCAGACGAGGAGCAGAAGAAGCTGGCAGATTTGCTAAACTCAATCAAGTCTGAGGATTCTGGAATGAGCTTTACCTTAGAGACAGGATCTGCAAGTTGAACAAATAATAAAATCAATCAATAAAACAAAAAAACAAAAATCAACATTTTATTTGACAATTTATGTTTACCCCTAATGATTTGTATAAAGTGCTAAATCATTTATAGACAGTTACCAGGAAAAATTTGCAGGTTTATCAAAGGGAAAACACAAACTTCCCAGATAAAAAAATTACAAAACCTTAAAGATGAGAAGTTGTGCTGGATCCCATGTTAATAAATTTTTTTTTAGCATTATGTTCTAATACTTACCTTGTTCAAATTATATACTGTCAGTGTAAAATCAATCCGGTTTCAAAGTACCCGTTTCATTATTTTCTTTACTAATTCACAGTATTGAGCAATAGTTAAGCCCAAAATAATTAATCATCTGGTATATTCAGCATTATTAATGTGTGTAATTAACTATTATTAATGTCTTTGATGGACCTAGCCAGACTTCTGAGTACAGGCCTTTCAGACCTCAAAGTCCCAGAGTACATTACCAAAGATAAATTGTCAGTATCATGTAAAAACAAGCAAAAAGTTAATCGATAATCAAAAGCACAGGAGGACTGATGGTACACATAATACCGCATTCAGACTAAATGTGTTTTGAGCGTCAGGGGCCGAAACTTCTAAGGTGGAACCACATCAAGGGGCGAAGAGAGGTCCTGTGATCCATTCCAACCATCCTTTAACTTAGATTTATGTTAAGTAGGTTGTTATATATTAGTGATGACCAAAGCAGTGAGTTGCCTTGCTGGGGCCTTGCAGCAGACGGCCTGTTCTCTCAGTGCATTTATGGATCATAGCTCTTAGTTTACTTGGTATCTACATTTTTTGGTCAGGATGATTACAATGGTTGGTAATGACCTTTCAGTACTCGTGTCTGAAAAGTTAATATATATGCATTCTTTACTTGGCAGATAGCCGCTCACACCGAGCCTGGTTCGGCTGGGGGTTTCTTCCTGTTAAAAGGGAGTTTCCTCTCCACTGTCGCTACAAGCATGCTTAGTGTGAGGGATTGCCTTCAAGTCAATGAGTCGATGCAATCAAATGGTTTTCCTTTAGATAGAATATTTTGAATCAATTTGACTGTATGATCTGGTGAACTGTAAAGTGCCTTGAGATGACGTGCTGTGAATGGTGCTATATAAATAGACTTAATTGAATTTGATTATTCCTCACATTATGTTTAAGAGGAATTCAAGTTAGCAGATGTAGATGACAAAGATCATCTCTCATAAAGTGTATTTAAAGGTTTAAGTTTCATGAATATATATATATTAAAGACGCTGATAAATCTTAATACATAAATGTTATCTAATTATTACTTTACTGCTGCCCAGTGGTGATAAACAGCAATGAATTATCCAAAATATTTTCATCTGAATGATAGATGGTCTTTGCCAACTAATATTCTATTTGACAAAAATATTTCATGCCTACCATGTACATAGACAGCTAAAGGCTGAGATTTTTGGTATCTCAGGGTTTTGCTGTTAAAGGCCTGACAGCTGTAGTTTCCACTTTGACTCATCTGAATGTTCATCAGTCTGAGTTCTGGTCCAGTTGTAGTCAGAGCTCCTTCATTCAGAAACCACTGATATTCAGCAGAAGGTCTTGAATCCACACAGCAGGTCAGAATGATGTCTGACCCAGTCTTATAATGTTCTCCTGGTGGATTCACCTCTAACCTTACATTGTCTGGACCATCTGATTGTAGAAAAGAAAAACAGAAATTGTAAAGAAAATGTCATCCACTGGAAAAGTAATGATAAGTCATTATACAGATACTATTTGCCAATATCAATTCAAGACATATAGAAAGTTGGTCAACTATCAAAAGCAGTGTAGGATGATGTGTGTTGTTGATTTAGCTGTTAATGAAAATCTTGAAAATCCTTTTAACAAGGTGTGATCTTGATTTCATTTTTTATGGTTGCAAGAAAATCTAAGCAGATAGTGAACATGTAGATTAACAACTTACAGCTGACACTGATTTCTATTGGATCACTGCCGATAGAAGAGACAGGATTAGACACATTACAGCTGTATGATCCCTGGTCATAGCGGGTCACATTAACTATAGTCAGAGTTGATCCTCCATCAGTGATCTGAACCCTGTCACTGGGAGTAACCTCAGAGCTGCTGTTCAACCAGCGGAAGGAGAGAGAAGATCCAGAGGAGGAGGAGCAGGATAGATGGACTGAGCTGTTGAATTCAACCAAGTCTGCACTTGGTGGGGAGACGGTTACATCAGTGACTGGTTCTGTTGGTAGAAAACAAAAATCTGTCAGCATCAAACAGAATGGACTTCAAGGTTTACAAAAATCACATGCTAATTCAGTACACATACTGTAGTACCTAATCAAACTTCATGATTTTCAGTTGAAATCAAAAATAGTATATACCACTTCTGGGAAACCTAGCAAATTAAAATTATATTTGAAATCACATTGACTTTGTATAAATCTGACTTAAATGTGTAGCTGCTACAGTTGTGTGATTTTTAAAACCAATTTAAAACAGATTAATATTCAGATCCGTCGTTTCTATTTTATAGCCCCAACTATTTGAATATAGGAATAAAAGTAGCAAGATGATTTTTTTGGAAAGATTTGAAACATAGGACTGGAATTTGAATCCCAGTTGAGCCAGGAAGGGAAAAAAAATGGGAACAGCTGAAATAGCTTACAAACATACCTCTGGTTTTAATGCAATCAGCAAACAGAAAGCTAGAGCCGTTTCTTAAGTTGCATATCTGAATTCAAGAGATGTGCTCCTGCTTTGCCCAATTTATTGAGGAGGCATCAGTGCATCCTTCTTAAGCCTTGGGCTAGCAAGGTGTCACATATTTTGTCAGAAAAAAAAAAAAGGGATTTTAAACAGTTTTAAAGGCAATAAAGTGTCTCCAGTTTTTGCAATATCTCTGCTGACAGGCCACTCTGGCAACGAGCTTTGCAGTCAGGTGGAGTGTTTTCTCCACTAATCACGGCCTAAACTTCATCTGTCATTTTATCTTTTTTTGTTGTTGTTGTCATGATGGGTTCACAAGAGAGACCCAAGTATGCAGAACCCACGAAACGGAAACTGAATTGAAAGGTTTAACAAGTTTATTGTTTCACAAGCACAGAGTAATCACAGGTTCTGGTTCAGGCCTGGGGGGCAGGTTCACTGGAGTCTGCGTGGGAGACAGTTCAGTTAGCGTTGCGCATAGGAGTTTGATTCTGAGAGTTTCAGGTTTGTACCTTGAGGGTTCTTGGTTAAGCTTTGGGAGAGAAACTGTTGGATCTGGAGAGGATTTGATCGGCAGAGTCCGTAAGCTGCTTCAGCGTCTTACTTCTTAAGAATGAGTAGACCTTGGCTTTGAGTTTTCAGCTCTTGGTCCAGAACTGCATGGAAGTTCAGAGAGAGGCTTCAGGTTTGGCTCAGAGGGCAGACTCGGCAGGTTAAGCTCTTCCAGAGCTTCACAAGAGAAAAACAGGTTTCCAACTGAATTCAACACTGCGACATTGAGGCAAGGTCTGAAGACAGCTTATATAGTGTGGATCCTCTGATGAAGGAATGAGCCTCAGCTGTGCAGGAGGCTAGGCTCAGGAGGATCCACAGCGGACTGTGCTGGAGGAAGGTGGTACTACTCCAGCTCCCAACATTTGTAACCTGTAAACTATTTGTTTATGAATGAGAATGAAGGTGTTTTAGTAGATGTGGTGGATGATTAACAGAATATAGAATAGAAATAATTTTTCTATGTTAATCTATTAACATTTATTTATTCTATAGTTAAGTTATTCTACAAACTTTGTCACAACAGTTTGTTTCTTTGTATTCTTTGCAGTACTTACAGTAATAGTCTTGTCTTAATTTGGCATCCAAATAAAAGAAAAAAACAACAACAATAGACTACCTCTTGATGATCAATCAAAGCACAATCACTTCTCCTGATACATAGAATAAAAACATTTCCCTTTTCATGTAAACCTAATTCAGTAGCAACAGGTTGCAGTTTGGATGCAGTTCCCCCTAAGCTCTCAGTGTTCCCATTCACCCTCCACAATGTGCTATACAGTTGTATACTTCACTATCTCTTCACCTTCTTTCATATTTATACAACATAATAAATATGTTTATGAAAACCCAGTCAAGGTCTCAGTAACCTGTACTTGAAGCAGTTCATCTGTATATTTCTGTTATTTTAGTAAGAATATTTTTAAGTAAAACATTTTTGTTTAAGATATCTGGTATAAGCTTATCTTATAATTACAAAAGCTCAGTTTGCTTAGTAGTTACTGCAAAAAAATTAACAACTTTGGCCAGATGCAGATTAGTAAAAGTTATCAGGTAAAGTGAATTTTTTGTATTTTTTTCTGCATATGGAGTGCAAACCTTAGAAATAATCAAAAGTGCTAACTTAATCAACCTATCTTATTGGTCAGGTAAGGAAAAAACTGTTTAGAAACAAATAGTATTTTAAAAGGAGCAAAGGGTTACATTCATTGTGGTCAATCATTCTTCTCTCACAGAAGTTTCAAAATAATAAACAATAAAACACCATTATTTTATGTGTAAAATATGATATGATAAAAATGAAAAATGTAGCTCATTATAAATGTAATAATTATCAGCCTTCTTACTGACACTGACACTAAAGATTATTTTATAAAAATTTCATTCATTTAAATGTGTAAATAATCAAATCTCTGAAAGGGTGATACAGTGAAAGTTTGGTAAAGATCTCCAGAGGAATTTAACATATTAGTAGTTTCTTCATATATAAACTAATCCACCCAGCATAACACAAATTTCATTTGTGTTTAAATGGGTTTACAAAATGGATAGATAACAGATAAGACTAAAACCTTTTTTAAGTGCAGCGAAACATTAAAAACTTAATTTAATTTTTGCTTTCATTTTCTATTTACTCACCATATATACCCAGAGTGGTCTCTCCTTCCTTTGATAGCTCTCCAGCAGGTTGAATGTTGACTCTGTATAGTCCACTGTCACTGAGTTTCAGATCCCTGAGCTCCAGAGATCCAGTAGATCTGAAGAGGGTGATCCTACCTTCATATTCTGGTACAGTTATGTTTGACTCAGACTGTGAGGATATTATGGACTTCCCACCAAAATACCAGTTAACCAAATAAAAAGGTGTTTCAGTTGGATTCAAGTTTGTTTTTATCAATACTTTCCCTCCAACAGTAGCATTGAATGGACCATCTGGTAAAACACCACTTCCTGTAGATAAACCTGGAGGAACCAAAAAGAATAATAAAATTATTTAAAAATTTTGAAAATAAAACCTGATACAACAATAAATAACTAGAGCTTGATAATGAGTAACTAAAGTTAAAAATATCAAACTACATTATCAAATTGAGCCTTGTTATTTTTTTTTTTAGATTATTCAGTCTAACTTGGCAGCTCTTTGAAGAACAAAACCCTGATTGAGGTTAAATTCCTTCCAAACATTTGACATTTTTCATTAAAGGAGAATCCTACCTGTAAAAGCCACAGCCACGATAAAAAGTAGTCGTAACATGGCACTGAATAAAATATTGAGGTCTAACTACAGGACAGCTGAGCTCTCAAACAGAGACTAAAAGAAGCTCTGCTTTGTATCTGGGTAAACTAGAAATGCTGTAAATGATCTCAGTAGAGAGAGCTGCCCTGAAAAGTTACAGCAGGTCTGAGTGTTTGAGTTAAATAGATGTCAGAGAGCGCCCTCCTCTGGTAAATATAATCTGTGCTTTAAACAGAGAAGTTTCATCTGTAAATCTGTTCACACAACAGAGGAGAAGAAGAAGATGCAATAGTAAAAACATACAACGATGGATGGATGAATACAACATAATTACTACATAGCTCTATCCCTGTAGAAGTAAATGTACCATGGAAATATATACAACTTAAAACAAGACATTGTCCCCAACATTCTTCCATAAGTTCATGGTATCTACTGTAGTTAGTTTATCTTAAAATAAGTTTTGCATTGTATAAAAGAATCACATGTTTTTAAGGTAAAGTAACTATATTGTCAAAATTATTTGTAAGCTTTTATATGAAGAGGAACTTTAATGACATCTCATTCCTAATCCAGTTTGATGATTGATACACTATATTGCCAAAAGTATTTGCTCACCCATCCAAATTATTGGAATCAGGTGTTCCAATCACTTCCATGGCCACAGGTGTATAAATTCAAGCACCTAGGCATGCAGACTGTTTTTACAAACATTTGTGAAAGAATGGGTCGCTCTCAGGAGCTCAGTGAATTCCAGCGTGGAACTGTGATAGGATGCCACCTGTGCAACAAATCCAGTCGTGAAATTTCCTCGCTCCTAAATATTCCACAGTCAACTGTCAGCTGTATTATAAGAAAATGGAAGTGTTTGGGAACGACAGCAACTCAGCCACGAAGTGGTAGGCCACGTAAACTGACGGAGCGGGGTCAGCGGATGCTGACGCGCATAGTGCGAAGAGGTCGCCAACTTTCTGCAGAGTCAATCACTACAGACCTCCAAACTTCATGTGGCCTTCAGATTAGCTCAAGAACAGTGCGCAGAGAGCTTCATGGAATGGGTTTCCATGGTCGAGCAGCTGCATCCAAGCCATACATCACCAAGTGCAATGCAAAGCGTCGGATGCGGTGGTGTAAAGCACGCCGCCACTGGACTCTAGAGCAGTGGAGACGCGTTCTCTGGAGTGACGAATCGCGCTTCTCCATCTGGCAATCTGATGGACGGGTCTGGGTTTGGCGGTTGCCAGGAGAACGGTACTTGTCTGACTGCATTGTGCCAAGTGTAAAGTTTGGTGGAGGGGGGATTATGGTGTGGGGTTGTTTTTCAGGAGCTGGGCTTGGCCCCTTAGTTCCAGTGAAAGGAACTCTGAATGCTTCAGCATACCAAGACATTTTGGACAATTCCATGCTCCCAACTTTGTGGGAACAGTTTGGAGCTGGCCCCTTCCTCTTCCAACATGACTGTGCACCAGTGCACAAAGCAAGGTCCATAAAGACATGGATGACAGAGTCTGGTGTGGATGAACTTGACTGGCCTGCACAGAGTCCTGACCTCAACCCGATAGAACACCTTTGGGATGAATTAGAGCGGAGACTGAGAGCCAGGCCTTCTCGTCCAACATCAGTGTGCGACCTCACAAATGCGCTTCTGGAAGAATGGTCAAAAATTCCCATAAACACACTCCTAAACCTTGTGGACAGCCTTCCCAGAAGAGTTGAAGCTGTTCTAGCTGCAAAGGGTGGACCGACGTCATATTGAACCCTATGGATTAGGAACGGGATGTCACTTAAGCTCATATGTGAGTCAAGGCAGGTGAGCAAATACTTTTGGCAATATAGTGTACATCGTGTTGGGAGCTGGAGAAAATCCCATCTTTCTCCAGCAGAGTCCGCCGTGGATCCTCTGAGGGAGCCTCCTGCACAGGTGCAGCTCATCAAGACCATCAGAGGATCCACTACATAAGCTGTCTTCAGACCTTACCTCAAGGCCGCAGTGTTGTTCCAGTTGGTCAGCGCTAAAGCCTTGCTCCTTGTGAATCTCCATGACCTTGAATCCAGATAGGATTCTAACTTCTCTCTCTGTGTTCCCAGGAAACCCGAGTCTCTTCTGTGAAAGCTCTTGGAGAGCTAACCTGCCGAGCCGACCCTCTGAGCCAAACCCTGAAGACTTTCTGAGAAATCCCAAGCAGCTCAGGACTAGAGCTGGAAGAACCAAACTAAGGTCTGTCCAAGCTAGACGTGAGACGCTGAAGCAGCTACGAACTCTGCTGATAAACTCTTCTCCAGAACCAACAGAAACTCCCTCAAGGAGAATTACTCAAGAACCCTCAAGGTACTATCTGAGCTCACTTGTAAACCAAACCCTGCCAGCAGTTCATAACAGCTCTGTCTCTCACGCAGACTCCAGTGAAACCAGGACCCAGGCCCGAACCAGATCCCAGTTCATATTGTGTTGTGCTTAATAAACTGTTGAACTTTTATCCTCGTGTCCGCCTTGTGGTGTTCTGCATAACTGGGTCTCCATTTGAGAACCCATCATGACACATCGCCAGCAACAGGAAATTTAACTATTCTTTAAATATTTTTACAAGTTTTAGGGTTATGTTCATAGTTAGATGAGAAACCTTAATTGCAGCATCTGCTCTAACTTGTCCAAGTGGTTGATATACAGGGTTGAGAGTGAGGACAATGAAGCTAAGTAGATTATCCACACGCTAAAATTTTTACACATGCAGCCATAGAAGGTATTAGAGCCTCCTGATTCCTTTATTGGGTGGTTTGATCCTAGATTGATAATGTGTACCCCTCTCAGATGTGTTTGTGAATAGATAGATACAATAAGAATTCAGCTTGCAGGCAAAGTTAGTGTGACTAAATACTTTTTAGTCACACTAAAGTCCAAACCAATTTAATTTGCTTAGCACTATTTAAAACAATCCCAGCTGATCTGAGTGCTGCAGACTACAGAAGAATAAATACATATATATAGAAGGTCGGCTGATGAGAAGTTATCAAAAAGTTATAGTCTACTGTAAACAGGAAATGCTTATTAATGTTCCACAAAGGTTAGAAATGTAATTATTGAGTCCTTTCAAGGAGGAAAGGACATTTATTTTCTGCCTTCCCTAATAGAATCTGGAGGCATTATAAAACACAAATTAAATAAAATAATGGTGTGCTATCTATACATAATGCAAAAGTAGCCTATTGTAAGTGTAACTAAAGTAGAGAGCTCATGTATTTTATTTTGTATTTTTAATATCATACCCTTTTCTAATAGTATGCTCCACCTAATGTATTGTGGTGGTGTAAAAGATACTGCTGTAACATTTCCAGATCATTTGGTTGGAATGGATTTATCTGCTGCTTTCCAGTAGCCTACATATAAAAATCCTATTTTGTAACTATATTATAATTTATGTTTTCCTTATGTTTATGACAAAAATACCAGTTTTTTAAATAATTATGAATACATATTCATTTTAAAACACTGTGTTGATATACTCTATTAAATATGGATTATTAGGTTAGGTTTAAAGTGCAACATGCTGAGAGAAGGGGAAAAAAGCAGAACAGGAACCT